AATAGTATATGTATAATGTAATAAAAATGATATATAAATACTTACATATATAAATGGATGTATACATATATATAATAAATGATTGCACGATATCTTATATTATGCATTATAAAAAACATGCTAATTATATATGTCATAAATATTTTGGCAGCTTTTTTTAAATAATTCAAATCATTTGAATCGTCTAAGCCAAAATTGTTGCTCGTTGTATGTAGGATCGTAGAACCATAGTATTTTTTTGAATGTAGAAACGTCATTAAAATTTGCTTTAAATGAATCAACATAAATTTTTTAAACAATTGTTAGGAATATGTTAATAGTCTGATTTGTGGTATGCACATAATTAAATATTAAATTAAATTAAATATATAATTAAATATATTAATTTATAGAGATTTGTATATATAAAGCATGAATCAAGAAAATAGTAAAAATTTTTAATATTACAGCATTAACAAAGCTTACCATTGTTTTTGCCTTTAAAGTTATCTTGTATTTGTCAATGGCTTAGGCACACTGGTTCCTCTTCGATTATTTGCATTCTCTTCTTGCATCCATATTTCTGTATTATTTATCATTGTGATGTTTTAGGATACAGGAAAGGCTAAACTCTATAATTTGACCACATTTCTTACACTGCGCGCCATAATTATCACTGTTTAATATACTCCCTTATAAAAATCTTATAAAATAGAATTATTTTTGCTAGAATTGTGTTATGTTTAAAATGCAAACGTCTACGTAATTTTATCGTCCATGTTTTCTTCGAATAAATTTGTGGACAAAAATTGCATTAGCAGCATAAATCGCTAGTTTTTTTAATACTGCAGTATCCAAGATACTTTCACTCTTTCTGCATTTGGATGTTGTTGATCGAAATGATAATTTGCAGGTTCCATATCGCAGTACGTAAAAGTATATGCACAAAGTATACATTTTGCTTTGTTTGATGTAGACATTCTGACTGTTGCAATAGCACTAGCGAATAACTAAGTATTAAGAGAAAAAAAAATGGTACAACGTAAGTTAACGTAATACTATTAATAAGAATTTTTAATAAATGTCTGCTTAATGTTCATCGTAACACTTGTACGCTTGTACGATTGTAAGGACACAATTTGCATTATACGTGCAAATTGGCAATTTTTTCGAAATGCTGACATGTCCATTGAGCTTTTCTTTTTGTTTTTATGTTTTGATGTTTTTTTCTCAAATATGCATTGACTACTTTCGTTTTGTAGTATTTTACAATATTTACAATAAATACGATGCACATTCTGTAAAATGTTTTTACTTGTTTTTTTATTGACTGTTTTATGTAGATATTTTGATTGTTTCACAGGATTGAGTGCGAATAACTAATAATCAGTATATACTAAGTATATACTTAGGATATAATTAATAATTAATTAATTAAAAAAATAAAAAAATAAACATAAGTACAAGGTACATTAATCTAATAAAATTAATTAAACAACAATTATAAAAATACCTTGCTATAATTTTTATACTTTATTTCTTTTGTTTATTAAATATAGGAACTTTTGATTATAAAATACATATGATGTTTTTTTATATTATAAGGATAATAGAAAGGAAGAAATATCTAATAAATAATCCAAACCTAATAATATATTAGTATCTTGGAATGAATAAATCAAAACACATTTATCTTAAAATGCTATCTTATTAATAATAATGTGTCAGTTTTCTATTATAATTGTTACATTCAATTAATACAATAATTTTAAAAGTTTTAAGTAAATCAGTACTAACTAAAAATCTAAATTTGATTTGCATAATACATCTTAGGTATTATCTCCACAAAAATTATTATGTCAAATTCAAATTACATTTAAAAATGAGAGTAAATAAGTATAAAAACATAATAAAATTGAATAAGAGTCAAATATGAAGATGTGGTTTTTTAGGACACAAGAAAGGCTAAACTCTATTATTAGACTACATTTCTTACACTGCGCACTATAATCATCACGCTGTTTATTATGCTCTTGTATAATACCCATATAAAATTGACCTTTTTTTGCTAGAAATATGTTATGTGTGTTTCGCAAATGTTTACGTAAGTTATTTTTGGAAGTTTCCTTCGAATAAGTTGTAGGACAAGAATTGCATTGCCAGAGTGAATCGCTAAAATTGTTGAAATGCTGCAGCATCCAAGATATTTTCACTCTTTCTACATTTGGATGTTGTTGGTTGAAATGATATTTTGCAGGTATTTAATAGCAAAATATCAAATTTTTTAGAAAGTTTTTACTAGATATATAATATTTATATACAAAATTGCACCAAAACACATGAAAGACGATAATAAAATATTGTAACAAAATTGGCATTAATAAAATAAAAAATAAACATGAGTACATGTCGATTATTAAAGTAATAATTTTGAAAATATTATACATAGGTAAAATTTTTGTATTACATATTTTCTCCTTAACAAATTTAGGAACTTTTGCAGTCAGTTACAATTTATGCTTTTCGATATTATTAGAACAAAGAAAGCGGAAATACACGGAAAAAATGAACTGGATTTGATAGCAAAATTGCATATTGGACTGAATAAATCACAACACATTTATTTTAAAATGCTTTTTTATTAGTGATAACGTGTCAGTTTTCTATTATATTTGTTACATTAAAATAATACAATAATTTAAAAAGTTGTAGCTAAATCACTAACTAAAAATCTAAATTAATTAATATTTGCATAATACATTTTAGGTATTATCTCCACCAAAATTATTATGTCAAAGTTAAATCACACTAAAAGTCACAAAATAATGAAAGTAAATAAGTATAAAAACATGATAAAATTAAATGAGAGTTAAGTATTTGTGTGAAAGTGTTGATTAATGAATATTATTAAGTTATTAAGTTATACATGTTTGCATAAAGTGCATTGTTTGTTAAACCGATTTACGTCATAAACCCAAATCTATACACATATGTAATTATGTAATTATTATATAAAATATAATGTGTTCTTATATATACATCGCTATTATTTTTTATAAAAATTTTATATATAAAAATTTTATATATAAGAATTTTATATATATATAAAAAATAATAGAAATGATACATATATTTATACATATAAATATAGTATATAATTGTATGATATATTATATAATAAACAACATGTTGATTATATACATGTCATAGATGTATTGACAGTTTTTCTGAGACATTTCAAATTATTTAAATCATCAAAGTCGAGATTGTTGTTTTTGTATGTAGAACCGTAGAACCATAGTATCTTTTTGAATATAGAACCGTCATCAAAATTTGTTCTAGATGCAGCAACAAAAATTTTTTAAATACTTGTTAGGAAGACATGTTAATTATTTGATTTGTGATATACACATAATATATGGAAATATGTATATATAATAAATCAAGGAAAGTAAAAAATTTTAATGCATTAGTTTTAATAGAGCTTACCATTGTTTTTGCCTTTAAAGTTATGATGCACTTGTCGATGGCCCAGACATATTGATTTTTAATTGTTTATTTGCATTCTTTTCTTCGTTTATCCATATGCTGAAATGATGATTGAACATGTGTTTTTTTAGAATACGGGATAGGTTAAACTCCATAATCAGATAACATATCATACACTGCGCGTTATTATCATCACACCGTTGAATAAGCTCCTCTACAGGGCCAAAATAATATGGGAATTTTATTATTGGACATATGTTATGCTCAGATTGCAAATGTTTACATAATTCGTTGGTCCGTGTTGTTCTCAAATAAGTTTGCGGACAATAAATGCATTTCCAGTGTGAATAGCTATAACTTTTGAAATGCTTTTTCCAAATAACATACTCTTTTTCTGTATTTGAATGCTGTTGGTTGAAATGATCACGGATGGGTTGCACATCGCGGTATGTAAGAGTATATGCACAGGTTGTACATTTTGCTTCAAATTGTTCAGACATTGTAAAATATTTCAACGCCCAGTTGTTTAATGTAGACATTTTTACTGTTGCAATAGCAATGGCGAATAACTAAGTATCAAGGAAAAAAACAAACGGGATAACATAAGTTAATATTATAATTTTAGTAAAAATTTTAAGTATAATAGTTTTAATAAAGCTTACCGTTACTTTTACTTTAACGTTGTGTACTTATTGATGACCTAGGCACACTGGCTTCTCCTTGTGTATTTGTGTCATGTTCTACTGCTCACGTATCTAGATGTCGTTTGAAAATGTGCTCATTAGGTCATTCGAAAAGCTAAGCTTTAGAACCGACCACACTCTTTATCCTACGCGCAATAATCATTATTCTGTTTAAGATGCTTTTATGTAAAAGTATATAATAAGTTGTGTTTTTTTCTTTTGAAAGTGTGTTATGTTAAGATAATAAATATCTGCTTAATGTTTATCGTAACTACGCTTGTATAGTTGTAAGGACACAAGTTGCATTATACATATGAATTGGCAATTTTCTCGAAATGGTTTATGTCCATTGAACTTTTTCTTTTTGTATTTATGTTTCGACGTTTTTTCCTCAAATATGTATTGACGGATTTCGTTTGGTAGCATTTTACAATAATTTGACACACGACACATTCTGTAAAATGTTTTTACTTATATCTATATTGACTATTTGGTGTAGATATTCGGATTATTTTATGCCATTGAGTGCAAATAACTAATAATTAACAAACAAAACAGAGACGTGGAAAAATTTGATGGCATAATATAAAATTTGAAAAAAGTCTGGATTAGATGTATGGTACTTATGTACAAAATTGCTCGAAAGCACATGAAAGACGATAATAAAATAGTGTAGCAAAATTAGCATTAATAAAATAAAAAATAAACATGAGTACAAATACATTAATAAAGTAATAATTATAAAAATACATTGCTATAATTTTTGTATTGCATATTTTCTGCTTATCAAATATAGGAACTTTCACAATCAATTACAATTGATATTTTTCGATATTATTAGAACGATAAGAAAGAGGAAATACGCGGAATAAATGATCCGAACTTGATAGTAAAATAGAACATTGGATTGAATAAATTACAACACATTTATTTTTAAATGCTTTCTTATTAATGATAATGTGTCAGTTTTCTATTATATTTGTCACGTTCAAATAATGCAATAATTTTAAAAGTTCTAACTAAATTACCAACTAAAAATCTAAATTAATTTTAATTTGTTTAATACATTTTAGGTATTATATCCACTAAAATTATTATGTGTAATTCAAATTACTTAAAATAATATGAGTAAATAAGTATAAAAGCATAATGAAATTAAATGAAATTTACATGTTTAACTGTGTTGATTAATGAATATTATTAAGTTATTAAGATATACATATTTGCAGAAAGTGCTTTGTTCGTTAAATTCATTTACGTTATAAACCCAAACATTTTTATACTCATATGTAATTAATATGTAAAATATAACGTGTACTTATATATACATCGTTATTATTATATATCGTTATTATTATATATTGTTATTATTATGTATATATATATATATATATAAAGTAGTAAATATTAGATATATATTCATACATATATATAATAAATAAATGCACGATATATTGTAAAGAACATGCTAATTATGTATGTCATAGATATGTTGGCAGCTTTTTTCAGATATCTCAAATTATTTGAATTGTTAAAGTCAAGATTGTTGCTTCTGCTTGTCGTATGTAGGACCGTAGAACCATAGAACCATATCTTTTTGAATGTAGCAACGTCATCAAAATTTGTTCTGGATGCAATAACGTAAATTATTTAAATATTTGTTAGGAAGACATGTTCATTGATTTGTGATATGCACATAATATATAGAAATATGTATATATAATAAATCAACAATAGTAAAAGTTTTTAATGTAATAATATAAATAGAGCTTACCATTGTTTTTGCCTTTAAAGTTATCATGCACTTGTCGATGGCCCAGTCATACTGATTTCTCTTTGTTCATTTTCATTCATTTCTTCGCACTTGTATTCTTTGTTATGATTTACGTATATATGGTTTTTTAATGCACAGGAAAGGCTTAACTTTATAATCTGACCACATTTGTTACACTTCGCGCTATAATCATCATGCTGTTTAATATGCTTCTGTGTATATCGCCCTCATAACATAATTCTTGTTCTGCTATAACTATATCATGTGTAGATTGCAAATGATTACGTAATTTTGCCGTCGGTATTTTCTTCGAATAAGTTTTTGGACAAGATTTACATTGCCAGCGTTTGCGAGAATTACTAGAATTTTTGAAATACTGCTCTGTCCGAAAATCTTTCGGTCTTGATGTATTTGCATGTTGTTGATTGAAATGATAATTTGCTGGTTCCATATCGTAGTACGTAGTAGTATATGGACATAATATACATTTTGCTTGAAACTTAGACTTGTTAAAATATTTCAACAGCCAATTGTTTGATGTTGACATTCTGACTGTTGCAATAGCAGTAGCGAATAACTAAGAATTAAGGAAAAAGCACACGTGAAACAACGCAAGTTAATATTACAATATTAATAAGAATTTTGAGTTATTAATAAAGCTTACCGTTACTTTTACTTTAACGTTGTGTACTTACTGATGACCTAGGCACTGGCTCCTTCTTATGTATTTGCGTGAGTTGTTCGACTGCTCACGTATCTAGATGTCGTCGTTTGAACATATACTTGTTAGGTCACTCGAAAAGCTAAGCTTAAGATCCGACCACACTCTTTAGCCTACGCGCAATAATTATTATTCTGTGCTTTCATGTAAAGGTATTAGCTGTATTCTCGTCTTTTTGAAATGTGTTATGTTAAGATAATAAATATCTCTTTAATCTTTATCGTAACTACGCTTGTATGGTTGTAAGGACACAAGTTGCATTATACGTATGAATTGGCAATATTCTCGAAATACTATCATGTACTATCATTGAACTTTTCTTTTTGTTTTTATGTTTCGATGTTTTTTTCTCAAATATGTATTGACTGATTTCGTTTGGTAGCATTTTACAATAATTGCATACGATGCACATTCTGTAAAATGTTTTTACTTATATTTATATTTACTGTTTGGTATAGATATTCTGATCGTTTTACGCGATTGGGTGCGAAAAACTAATAATTAGTGAGCAAAATAGTAACGTACACACAGTGGGATAATTTGATAGCAATAGATCAAATTTCAAGAAGTACGGATTAGATATATGATATTTATGTCCAAAATTGCACGCAAACAAATGAAAGACGATAAAAAAATATATCGTAGAAATGATCATTTATTAAATAAAAATAAACTTGAGTACAAGTACATTAATAGAGTAATAATTGTGAAAATACATTGCTTTAATTTTTGTATTGCACATTTTCTGTTTGTCAAATATAGGAACTTTCACTATTAATTACAAATTATATTTTTCAATATTATTAGAACGTTAAGAAAGAGAAAGTACGCGGAGTAAATATGTTTCTTTTTGTGTATTTGCATTATGTTCTTCTAATGTTCATGTTTCTTTATATATTTCGAACATGTGCTTTTTTAGCTTATTTGAGAAATATAGTACTATGATGTGACTATATTTTTCACACTGCACGTGATAATCATCATACTGTGTAATATGTTTCCATATGAAGCTGCAGCGGAATGTGTACTTTTTTCCGAAAGTTTTTTATATTTCAACAAATGTTTCTGTAATTGTTTGGTTTTTGTATGATTTGAATATTTGTGATTGCAATAATTGCATTTTACATGTACATAGACATTTTGATTGAAATGCTGTCATATCCAATGAACTTTTTTATTTCTTTTTATATTTGGATGCTTTTTTTTAATGGTTATTCACGGATGACATATCGCAGTACTTCCACATATATCTAGTTGGATGCAATTTGCATTTTGCTTGAAAATTCTTCAGTTTTTCAAAATATTTCCACTCCCAACTGTCTTGATCGTTTGGTGTACTTGTTGATTGTCTAGGCATATTGGTTTCTGTTTGTGCATTTGCATTCGATTCTTCACTTATCCATATTTCTTTATGTTTTTTGAACACGTGCATGTTTAAGTAATATGATTCATACCTAAGCTGTATAGACTTACCGCATTCTTTACACTGCACGTGACAATTATCAAGCTGTGTGTGATATGCTTCCACGTAAGCTCGTACGAAATGTGTACTTTTCTTCCGAAAGTATTTTATGTTCCAATAAATGTTTTTCTAATTGGCTGGTTGAAATGTGAATCGGATATTTGCGATCACAATAACTGCATTGCACGTGTGGATAGGCAATTTGATTGAAGTGCAGCTATATCCAATAAACTTTTTTATTTTTTTCCATATTTGGATGATTTTCATTGAAATGTTTATTCACAGGTGACATATCGCAGTAGTGCCATGTATAACTGAACACAATATGACGTATTGGACACAATTTACATCTTGCTTGAAAATTCTTCAATTTCTCAATATATTTCCATTCTCATTTTTCTTGATTGTTTGGTGTAGTTATTTTGACCATTTTATATGATAGAGTGCGAATAACTAAGTAAGAAGGAAATATTAAGACGAACGAGTCAATGCTGGATATAAGTACAGTGTGTATTTTCTAAGAAATGTTTACGAACGATCTCGGCCTATTATGAGGCCATCTTCTGTGTAACTCGAAGTAATAAAATTGAATAACACGGTTGTCTAATTGAAATTTAACTATGTGGATGTGATACTCAATTAGTATTTAGAAATTGTTAGAACCTTTTTGAAATTTTGTTCTTTTTATCAAAATTTATTGATAAAGCAGTGAATTTTAACGCTAATGTAAGAATGGTATTGCAAATCGTGAAAATCTCCTACGAAGCGAAGTTTGTGCGAAGCGCGAAGTACGGAATCGAGACTGCGCCGGAAAGCTCTAAATTTATCGCCAATAGCTTCCTAGGTGCACGAGAGGCTATCTTTGATCTCTCTCACGCTGATTTATAGATTTCACTTTAAAATAGCGACACGTGAATAGGCGAAAATCAATTCGCGAGAAATAAAGGAAAAGAGAATTTTTCTATATTTTTCTATCGTACATTGTTACACATTGGTAACGGCAAAACGCTGAAACTTGCCTGAGACGTTGTCTGAGACAAACTTTCGTCTGAAAATAATCGACCGCAATTCGTTTTCCTTCCGTCCTTGCCACGGGCAAGTGATTCCTGCGCTAGGAGACGAAGCTAAATGCCATCGTATCGGACAAAATTACGGCAACTTAATCTCTGTCTCCATTTCTTTCTTTCCGCCGCGCCCTTCCGACCGGCACGGAAACTTCCAGATATTTCAGACACGTAGACGATTGGACTAAACTTCCCTTTAATGCGTGGCGCGCTCACGTATATATGTCACCGTATGAAAACGTTTTTCGCCGACCGCCTCTCTTTTCTCGTATAATGCTTGTAATTACATTCTTAATCTGAATAAAATGTCGTGTGCACTCGAAGCAGTGTAATTCATTACGTGGAGCGCGCAGAGACACGTTAATTTTCAACAAAAATTAGAAAATCACGCGGAGTGAATTTACTCGATTTTCTCGTACGAGAGCGGAAAACCGCTTTCTCGGATCATCCAATGCGATCAGCGAAATACACGTTAGCGCGTTTACGCTCTTCAGATCTTGACTATTCCGCCCACTTTTTACAGCGCGGCTGAATCGTTTCCGCTGACTCCGGCGGGAATTCGGCGAATGTTACGACATCGTCGGTGCAAAGAGGAGAGTGTGAAAGAAAGTCTCACGTAGAATATAGCATGGCATTGTCCTTCATTGTAATTCGCAACGTCGAAATTTCGTCCTTATTACCTAGAAGTTATGTACGTTTGACGCGAAAGTTTTGCCAGAAACGTGTCGCAGTCGACAGTTTTAGACGGAGAATTCAACTGACGTCGAAGGACGTGCAACACGATAGAGAGATAAAAAACCAGCATCGAGAGAAAAAGAAAAAATAAGGAAAACTGGATATACAGGGTGTTTTCTAAGTTTTCTTGAACTTATTTTATTTAAGCGTACGAATATCTTTAAAAAAATTTTTTTTATTAATTGCATCTTGCTACAGGAATATATTGTAATATTATAATCGTAAATATCTCTAAAATGTCTCATAAATTCAATATATTGAATATCTTGAATAAATTAAATTTGCTTTGATTTTAATTATATTTTATTGACTAAAATTCTTCTCGTTTGAACTGAATTTTCTTCAAGGAAGAACTTTGACTTGAAATTATTTGCAACGTGAAATTGCTAACACCTCGATATTTTTATTAAGAAAAACTCTGTCTGAAACCCGTTTACGAAGTGCAAATAACTCGAGAGACACTGTATATACGTACCTTATTCCGGAAGCGTGTGCTTTCATTCCTCCCGGCGTGCTCTCGGCCATCCTGTCCGCGGCAATAAATTCCACCGTCTCACACTTTATCGTCGCGTCTCCTTTCAGTTTTGCGCCATTCGTGACGCGTAAACATCGATCTTCGTGTTTCTATATGAATCGACATCGCGTCGTCGCGAGCGCGACAAATAAAAGCTCTGGGCCCGTACATACGGTACGGTTCTCGCCGGCGATATTTAACCAGTCGGTTTGGGGTGTGTCAAGCGTACTCGTCGATAATCGCCTTCGGCGAAAATTGATGGGGGAGTATCGTCGCTCGGCAAAATCCTCTGTTTTCGAAATTGCAATGTCGCGGCACCGGCAAAATATGAACGGCAACGGTGACGTTCGGAATGCGAGTCGCTCCACGCCGATATCGTTGATTCGCTTGGACCGATACAGTTTTAATTAAATAAATTATTATATTGTCTGCTTAATTAAAAGTAAAATATTGTATTTAATCAAATTTTTTCATCGAGTGACGTATACAATTCGTCATCGAGTACACTCAATTGTAATAATATATACGCAACATGTAATTGCTCATAACAGGCAGCGAAATTAACGTAAGGCCGATACGAACAATATTGATTACTCGATATTCCATTATGGGTTAATTATTGATATCTTAAAAGACCGTACAAAATAGTCATTGCGATAACGATGTCTTGCTGGTGATTACGCGAAAAATATACGGTATTATATCAATCAACTACTTTATCTATTGCACTTTTCGACTTTTAACATATCAATAAACGACGCTTAAAGTGCGAAATACTTTTATCGAGTAGTTTGATTTCAATCACCCTCACCAATCACTCGATACTTTTCTTACTGTAAAATCTACAACGCGTACGTCTTATTTTGAAATCGACTGTGCATTGATTCTGTTCGTGGACGAGGAAACTTGTGTATTTCTAAATTACTTATATATTTTTTCTGATTTTTAAAAAGACAAGAACTTATATTTGTACTCTATACTAGTTCTAATTCTAATCTAATAATTTTAAGGAATTATTACTAAATTAAAATTGCTGCAAAAATTTAATATTTACAAAATCAATCGGAGACCGAGTCAAATTGTTTGCTAAAATCTGCTTTGAGGACTCGATCCGAATTTAAATTTCCATTATTCGAAGGCGTGAATGAAAATCTAAATCTCTCTCTCTCCTCTCGGGAAAGCCGCACGAGAATCGCAAAGCGCTTCTTTTCTCCTTAAGCTCGTATAAATCGCGCGTTTCGTTGTGACGTCAAACGTAAAGGCAAACTATCACAGCAATCGCCACGGAAATACGCGACGCGAGAACACGACGAATGGGAAAAGCTTCACTGAGCGAAATATAAAACTTAACTCAGTTTCACGTTCATCTCCAGCAAAGGATCTCTGTAGCTTAAACTAATTAAACAGCGCACATTTAAAATGTGTCCATGCAGATAGTGTCCATGCTGGAGTACATGTTGGGCATGCTGGACATATTTCTGCTGCTTTGGCCAAAGGTAGTTATGTCGGCGACTTCGTCGTCCAGCTCTTCCGAGAAATTCACCAGAACCTGCGCATCACACAACGGATTAGAATAATTTTCTTCAAATGATAATCTCGTTCGCTGTAAAAGAGTTTGTTATAAAGGATTTACTCTGTGTGCGTAAAATTGTGTTATGCAATAATCTAAGATCGAAGTTTCAACGATAAATACCCTGTTGAAGTAATTTTGTGGTATTAGTTCTGCAACGGGCGATTCGTAACGCGGACATTCACAGTAAAAACACTTTTACAACAGCGTGGAAGTTCGCTTCGCCGGTCGAATCGTAAACCGTGCTTGCGTTTGTAATTATCGCGACTGCAAATCTCAAGTTCCGTGAAGGTCTACGCGCAAACTTTCGGTCGTTGCGTCGTTGCAGTTTCGCGCGTGCTTTGCGTTGAAGCACAGTCTTGCAGCGGAAAGAACGGCGACAGGATGGTGGGTGGACGAAGGGCTTTTCTCGCAAGACCCATAAAAATATCAAAACTTTCCCGCCCGGCCAAAGTTTGCCCGGTTTACATGCAAGCCCGCCGCGCGATACTGCAAAAAATTCCCACTTTGTTTGCGAGATCGCCGCACCGTCTTTGCGCGACGACAAGAAATGCATTTACATAATGTCCTGATGTCGCGGGCGACTGCTTGGAATGAATTTTTCGAAAAACGTATGCGCCGAACCGATTATTTAACACGGTCAATATTGAAAACGATCAACGCTTGTATCGTATTCTTATCGCCGTAGACGATCTAGAATTTGACATAGAATTCCATTCATTTTAGATATCGTATAATATGGAAGACATGAAAAATCAGAATTTACACATATTCAAAATCTACATCAGTGACATGCGGACGTAAAAAGGAATTCCAAGCCACCCCGTTATATCTCTGATTCTCGAAGGATGAATGCACGCGTTTGCGAAACCTTTGAGAAGACTTCGCGCAAATACTTTTCCGTCGTATTGCAGCAATCTAGAACTTCTTAGATTTGGCCCGACCCAGTTCGCTGCTTTACTCAGAACTTAATTTATATTCCGAACTGTGCTAACTTGAGCTGTTGCTATTGTCGTTACTCCAGAAGCTTACAAACAACGGGGTTCACGGGCGACTCTTAATATTTGCAAGGACTAAATTTAAGAAATGGAGATGAATACGCGAAATATTTCTGTTTAACGATTTAAATAACGAGAAATGAACAGTTCTTTTTTTCAAATGATATGCGTAAACTTTTTCTCTCGTTAATAATAATTAGCAATTGCGAAACCGTTAAATGTGACAGAATAATATGCGATAAATTTTGTTGCAAATTGACGCAATGTTATTCAATATTTTTCAGAACAAATCAGTTACGTAGAAATGGCAAAGTGTCACGAGCAGATAGATCGGCCGTATTATTTGTTGAAAAGCGATTCTATATCTGATGACAAAAAGGTTCCATAAAACATCCACTTCTCGTTTCAAGTACTGAATTTTTCTTACTCTGCCACTGCGCCACCTTATAAATGAGCAATTAAACTTCTATAATTCATCGCATTCAATAACTTTCTTCTCGAATTTCTCGCACGTTTTAGACCTCAGTCTCGGCGAATTGATGTTTTATTCGTGGAATTTGTTCTGTGTCATATTTCTAATAAATTTTGATAAATTGACAACATCTACAATATTTTCTATCAAAATTTTGGTTCTATCGAATTTTTAATAACGCAAACAGTAATAACATCTTCGTTTGCAAAAAGGAGAAAGCAGTGTTTGTTGCCGTTCCGCGTTTCTCGTGTCGCGAAAATTAAATTGTACTTTTTTTTTTATTCCGACCGATCGATCAATCAAGCGACAATTTCAATTCCCACCTTTTCTCAAGCGTCGACGGTTCATTTCGATCTAGATTCGCTCCTTAGAGTTTTCAGATGCTGCAGAATTGCAAAGAATAGTTGAACGTGGATTGCATACACATACGCGCACACACTTTTAAGACCGTAAAATCTGCATACCCACACCGACAATCTTGCTGTCGCGCCGTTGCATGTGATTTATGATCTTTACTCGCACCGTAAGTCACAAAACACTGATTGATGCATTGATAAAAAAAAAGGGTACAAAATAGATAAAAGATTTTTATCGTTAATTTCATTTCCATGGCTTTCATCTTGATTTTACGAATATGCGAAGAGTATTTTTGCATGTTATTCGGCGTGATACGGTAAATTTATAGTGTGCGTATACACCAATAAAAATCACTTTTCCGTCATAACAATCCAGCAAAGTATATTAAGATGAAATAGATTTCACGATGTTGCAGCAAGTAAATTGAGACAAACGGAACATAATCGTGAATTGTTTTACATCGTAAACATAAAATCTTGTCCGCTGTAAAATTTAATTCCAATTCTATTATTTTTATCCGCAGTTACAGATAACATTTTGCACAAAAAACACATTTTTAAAATTGCGAGAAGATCGCATCAAGCTTTTATGTATCGCGGTAACGGTTGTTTTTTTTTATTTTTTTTTAACTCGATATTACGACGCGGTACAAATTCTCTTACGCAACGTGAGTTTTTCACAATTTTCGGATTTCATTGCCGATGCATCGCTGTTAGTGCCATGAAAATAATTAATGTAATAACGCGGCGTTACTTGACGTTCGGGGACGTGTTAATTAAAGTCATCGTCTTCGTCGACCTATAAAAATTTAAGAAGTTTTTTAATTAATTTTAAAATTAAAATTTCTTTATTAACCAGCTTATGCAAATATGGTGGCACATCGCGCGCGGTAAATTTCGCGCGGAGTCGCGAGGCGCAAAAGTTCGAAGGGCGCAAGAAAGGGCCGCTACGCGACATGCAAATTTCGGCGCCCGGCTACTTTGTGCATACATCTTCTGCACAAATGCGCGCAAATACATTTTTTGTTGCGCCAACAAACGTGTTTCGTCACGCGTTAAATGTAATTTATTTCTCTGCATGCTGAAACGTACAGGCCACTTTATTATGCGGTAGTTGCATTGTTCTTAGTAATTTTTACTGCTGAAAAATATAACGCGGAAATTTTGTACGCGAGAGGAAAAAGTGCAAACCTTTTGCTTATATTTATAAATGCAGCGTAGAGATCACAAGGCAATTTAAAACTTCGTACAAATGCAGTGCGGACTTAATGTCTGAAACTTACTGAACGCGCTTGTAAAAAGATATTAGAATCAAAGACTTTCGCATGCTGTAATGTTTTCATGTAGCGCACCGTACGAGCTTGACGAAATTTACGCGTTATTAAAATGTGATTTTAATCATGCTCCATTCTCGCGTTCGCAACGAGTAACGTCGTTAAATACACGACTCGAAGAATGCGCGTAGACTCTGCCGCTTCGATGTGCGCATTTGCGGCGCACTGATTTGCATATACCAACGATATATACATTTACCAATAATGCTTACAACTCGCTCACATTGAAGTGAGAGACAATCGATGCGCAGTAGCTTCGAGTGCAAGCGGAATGCGAGGAAACATATCGCATGTGTAAGATTTATACTCGGCAATTTCGAGAAGATTCGGGCTTCATTATTCGGATGGTGAATTATTTTGAGAGAGAGGAAGGGAGAGAGAAAGAGACAGAGAGAGAGAGAGAGAGGGAGGGAGGGTGAGCGGTTAATTAACAACAGTTTTCGCGAGTGGGGGAGAAAAGGGGGAAGAAGGGTCGGCACACTGCGCGTTACAGCTACCCGAAGAGCATTTAGGTGAGCTTAGAGGCAGGCAGCCCGGGCGGGCGGAAAACCCGCCCACCTCGCTGCAGCTTGTAAACCATCGCGGAGATGTATGTAAGTGAACTGCGATACGGCGGATCCATTAATAACCGTCAGGATCGGTGGGACGAAAACGGCGGATCGTCTTTGGACGACAGGAGGAGGCGCTATGTACCGGCGGTGCATCATCTGCTGAAGACAAGCCCGTAGAATATCGCTCCGCGCGACGTGGCATATTCATCAAAGATCGCGTTGCAAAAATGAGCATTGCGTTCTTCGAGAGCGGAGGGAGCGTAAGAAGCAGAACTCTGCTTCGCGGTTGAAAAAAAAACTCATCTGCTCTCCGCGTGTCTTTCCTCGGCAAAGAAGTTTGGAAATGTTTATTCACGTATTATAAGTGGATACGCGCGCGCGCGCGCGCGTAGAAGCTTCTTTAGAGCTTGCGAAAGTTTCCCGCGATAAAGTTTAAGAGAATTTTAACTCGACATTTTTAAATAGATCCGAGAGTATTAACGTAATACTCGTCTCATGTGTTTGGGCATTCCGTTTGAACGCGCTTCCGTTAATAAGCCGAGGTTTCGCCCGTTAATACGTCAAGAAGTCGAGCTGATGTGATTTCACGTATAACAATCCTGTTCGAAATAATAACGTCGTAAAATTTCATGTGAAGCGAGGCGGGGGCGGTACTTGAGAGTCGAAGTTGATGAGAATCCGCGAAACGCCCTATTGCTGAAATCGAATTCACTGACCTGATCTAGCGAGCTCTGTGTGAGCGTGTAGTCCGTGGCCTTAAGCTCCTCCGCTAGGAGCTTCACCATGCTGAAGCTCACGCTGAGCGCCACGTCTTGGCTCCGTGGTAGCAAAAGTCGAGCAGCCGTCGCCTGTCTGGAAGAGATCGTCGCCTGTGGCAGATATTTTAGAATAGCTTCCCTGAGTTCCGTGGCGGTGACTGGCTGACTGAACCTCAGGAAGGCGATGTATCCTTCGCCGAATCTGAAAGTCAAATGAGATTTTCAGATTTTTGGCGGCGGCTTCGGCTGTGACCTTTAAATTAATTATGATAACGATGCAAAAGTGAAAAAAAAAGAAAAAAATTGCAGGAACGACTAACGGTGAGATTTATCCGCTATTTCGTTTCGTCCGATCGCGCGGCAGACGGGATCGCTATTTCAAACTCGTCCTGGACAGAAGACGCGGCAGATAAGCTTTTACCGTGCTTTATATACTGTAACAAAGTGCATTCGCCATTCTTTATCATTCAACCTACTCTCCGCGACACACGAGAGCGGATTGCAGGATGGGCTGCTAATGTGGGCAAGACCGAGCTGTAAATTCTACCTCCGATGGCGAGACACCGGCGGGAGAGAAAGGACTGGCGCGAGGAAGGGAATGGAGGAGCGTTCTCCGAGATACTTCCCGAGGCACTTCAGGATGTTAGCAGTTAAATATTTACGACGCACTACATTATTCCGAATAGGTCAGGCCGCGTGCGTCTGGGGTGGACAATTCTACATATGAGCATAATCCCGATTCCAATCGGAGTAATTGAATAAACTGGTCGTCGCATTACCGATAATGCTGATTCAGTCAGATTTATTTTCGTAATATCATTTTTCTTTTTTTCTACCAAGAAATATTGTCCTGAAAGGCTTCAATTCTCGTAGCTGCAAGAATACTGTTATTAAAAGAATTTAATTAAATTTTCCGACAATGTCTTCTAATTAAAATACAAGCATGAGAACCGTAAAATTCGCTTCGAACTCTGTTAAGGAAAAAATATTTGTGGGTTTAAGTCGAGGACTACGCTGGAGTCTCTCGGACGGACTTCGGCCATCGCGTTTCTCCCCCTCCTCCCCCCCCCGCCGTCGTATCGTTTTATCCTCTTTCACAAAGAGGATTACTCAACAAAATGGAGTAATATAAAGACAAGAGTTTTTGATTGAAGGATTCGTTAAACTACGAAACATAAGTATCTGCGAATCCTCGAATCGGGCTGCAGGAAAAAAAACGAGAGCCGCGAGTAAGAGCGAAAAATCAAAACTTTTCCTTGTGTACGGTTTACGAGTCTGCTGGGAAATATCCGGTTGCAAAGTTTAAAAAGACGCGCTATTTTACGAAAAAAAAAAGAGGAAGTACGATGTAATCTTACTTGTGCTTCAAATGCTGTGGCGTTCCTATACACCTGAGACCAGCTCTGGCAAGGATCCCCACCCTGTTGCAAAGATTCTCGCATTCGGCCACGCTGTGTGAAGTGAGTATAACGCATCCTTGATTCTTCGTCACTTGCTTCACGGCTTTGACCACGAATTTCTTTGTGGCGGGATCCATTCCGCTAATGCACGCAAGTAATAAAATTACGCCCTTAATGTAGAATCAAGTAACTTTGCATACAATTAACATAAGAATTAACATAATTTCAAAATTATGTTAAGCAAAAAGCACCTCGTCGGCTCATCCATGAGAACTATCGCAACAGGCGCCATGACGCTTATAGCGGCGCACAGCTTCCTCTTGTTGCCGCCGCTGAGATTGTCGACCCTGCGATGAGCGTACTTAGACAGATCGAATCTCTTCAACGTCATCTCGACAGCCTGCAAGAAGAAACAAAGCCCCTGCGATTCCGATTCCAATCTTTTGTGTCTACGAAACTTAATTCTCGACTGAAACTTAGACTTCTTTAGCACCTTTAGGGCGAAAGAGTCTGTAGGAGTTTTCAACAGCACCTCCAGCGATACCTCTTAAAAATTGCGCGCGTCGCACAAATTGAAGAGAGAATCTTCGCAAGCCTTAATTAACAAGTTTAATCCTGCGATATATCTTTCGAACTTATACGTACCCTAGGAACATTGTTCAGTCCACAAACTTCGCCGTGAATCGTCAGGCACTGATAAGGAGTGAGGAATCCGTCCAGAGCATCGCTCTGAGGGCAATAACCGACCTCGCCGTTACACAAGGGTCCAGCGCCAATCTCTTTCCCCTTTAGAATAATCTTTCCGGCCGTAGAAATGATTTCCGTTGTCAGCATCTTGAACGTCGTGCTTTTTCCCGCGCCATTTACCCCCAAGAGGCCGAAACACTTTCCCTCCTGCACGCCGAAGCTTAAATTTTGCACGGCGACATTCGTCCCGTACACGCTTTTGTATTCCTTCCTCAATTTTATGGTCTTCAGGGTGTCGTCGGCCATGCCGGACTCGACTCGCAGTCTCTCCCTGGCAACGTCTTCGTCTTCCTGCACGATTTCATAATTCACCTTCTGGCTTCTCAGTTCCGGCAGGACTCGGCACTCGATCAGTAAATTCAGCGCGAAAAGAACCGCGCCGATGATAGCCAAGATGACGTAATGCAGACCGAGAAGATCCCAGCCGAGTGGAGATTTGTAAGTGTCCATGTGAAATCTTTGCAATAATTCGGAGGTTATATCGTTCTTCGATATCTCGACTAGCGCGTCGCCCAGAGTGTATTGCGGGAAGATCATTAGGGTGTAATGCAGAATGTTTCTCACGTCTTCGGCCGTTTTACTTTTACCGACAATGTCAAGTACCAAGACGGTTGCTAAAGCAGCCACGCCTATGAAAGTATTCACGCAGAAGAGCACCATATTGGACAGACTCGAATCGTCGAAAGCTTTCTCGGCTAGATGCGAAAATGGTATCGCCGCCCACCTAAAAATCGGACGAATTTTAAAGAATTAAGAAATATCAATTTACTCGAGCGAGTAATAAATCGTGAGTGCTTACGCGAATAAAAATAGTAAAAGGCAGATGCCGGAAAGATTATCTTTTGCAACGTAGGCTGACAGACCGAAGATTTCGAAGATAATGATCGCCAAGAAAATAGCGCAGCCGAATACCTAAAATAATAATAATACAATTAAGACATCGATTGAAACTATAATAATTTTATTAAGATATATTGAAAACATGATAATTCTAAAAATTTAGAAGACTTTAATCTTTCGCGAGAAATGTGTCTTTTTTTTAATAACTTACTATAAAATCCCAAATTAAAACCGTCGTCCAGTATGTGATAGGATGCACTCCAGCTAAATAGAGAATTCTCTTCTCCTCCGATAACCGTTCTCTGACTAATTCCTTTGCTCCTTGAGCGCCGACCAGACTGAACGCTATCAAGAGCACTATCGCCACCCCAACGTCCGCTACATGCTGCAATCTGACGCAGAAAGAACATTATTGCAGCGAATATTACAGCGTAAAATATCTAACGTTTCCGGAATAACAGAGCAAACTCCAGTAACATTATTTAAGAAACGGATGACATCTCTCTCTCTGTAAAATACGTGATATATGAATCCGCTTCTTAATATTATCCGAGAAAAGTAAACGGAAGTAGTATCAATATTAGCAACATAACGATGCGAGCGGGATTTCAGCTACCGAATCTACGACGAAACCAGTGCGCCGAGCGACTGTCGGCATGAATACCAAATGATGTGCGGTACATTAATTAAAAGTAAACGAAACATCTACGCTGGCGCAAACTCTCTCTCTCCCGCCGACTCTTTTAGTTCTAAAACTCCGAACTGCGTGCAAACATCTTTGCTTATCCGTTTGGGAAATCCGCCCGCATCGTAAAATTCCGCAATTAATTAATCCTTAAGCACACGCAACATTCGTAATCTGAAATCGCGACGAAAAATATTAGAAATTCCCGCCGTAATTACGGATTTGCCGCTGACGTTAAAATTAACGCTCACAGAGTGGTCCGATTCAGCTGATCGCTCGATAGCTTCAAGGGGTGATTGATTGTGGTTAAATGTCCTTGCACTCCTGATGCTCGCAGAATCGCCTCGTTGAGAGCGTTCAGGTATGCTGGCAGCGAGTGGTGGCCTTTGTTATTGTACCAAACAACGAAAAGAGGATCGTCCTTAAAGTGTGATAGAGACCAACCGCCGTACCTGCAAGTTATTATTTGTCGGGAAATTCGCGTGAGATCTCTCTCTTTAATCTCTTCCGTTGTGTAATCATGAAAAATCTACCGTTTCTCTATGTATTCTTGATGCGTCGAAACAATCCAATCTAAAGTGGGTCGACCGGGTAATGTTTGAAGAAGACCTTCGACGGCTTTAGAAACGCCTCGACAACTTTGTTGACCGTCTAAACATTCGCAGGTTCCGGTATCCTGTAAATTATTTTAATGAAAATTCTCATGTAAAATCCCTGCGATTTCTACGGAGAAATAATCATCGTGTATTCGTACGTTAGGCAAAGTTTGCCACGCGCCGGCATAATCATCTCCGAAGCGATCGTGCAGCTGCATGGACACGTGTTGCAGGAACGAATCACTGCTTCCGTCAATACTGTAACAAAGAAAAAAGGCAAAAAAACGTTTGAGAAATCAAGTTGAAATTAATGCGATATCGAAAAGTTTTATTCACAAATTGATAGGAAAGTCGGGTAATCAATTTGGTACGTTTATATATAATTGTTAGTTAGATATGTTATTATGTTCTCTTTCATCTTTTCCTTCTTTCTTTAATATTCTGATTCTCTCTCTACCTATAAAAGTAAGTTAGATGAGTATTATAAAGCTTGGGAGTCAGAATCAGAGCCGGTTCATCCTCGGACGGTGGTCGTATTAAAGAAAATCCCATAGCGACTGCAACGAACATGGTTGGTAAAACGAGCGCGGCCAACGGCGCTCTCCAGTCTCTCGCGAAATGCCACAGCCGCTTCTTTATCATGGCTTTCATTTGTCGAATCGGCGACGGCTTCAATACCATTTCCGTAGAAATGAAATCGATGTCATTATTTGGCATGGGAATTTCTGTGCATAAAATGAAAATCTTCTCTAAGTGTTTTGTTATTAATTGACATTTAATTAAATCAAGCTTGTTTATTTGTAAGATAATAAATATTTGTTATATTCTATCATGTAACGAACAATTAAATGTTCCAAAAATTAACTTAGCATAAAATAATAATGAAGTAATTAAGAATATATTATTGTCATGTTTATTAATCTACGACTATTAATTTTTATAATTTTAATGTTACGATGGAGAAATCTATTTTTTAATTTTGCATTTTTATAACGGTAAAAATTTATCACATTTAAATTATTTTTAACATATTTTATATTTTTAAATTTTTTCAAAAAATAATATGAACAATAAAAGATTGATAAAAGTCGACTTTTTATTTAAAGAGAAAGATTTTATCTGAATTATAGCATGCATATGAAACACTTCTCACCAACATGCTCCGCATTAGTGACGCTATCTTCATTCGCTTTGATAATGCTGGATCCGTTATCCGCTCGCGCGCAAAGATCCAAGAATACTCTTTCCAGAGTGTCGCACTCCAATGAGAAGTGCGAGAATCCCAAGAGCTTACGGTTGTCCTCGAGCGCTTTCGCCGCCTGCGCAATGCTGAAATACCCTCAATTTTACTCAAACGCAAACGCAGATGTTTAACCGATTTCGTCTCGAGCATTCGCTAGTATAATTATAACAATTTCTCTTAAGATGAATCACGGAGCTTGAGAAGTCAAATATTTGTAGGGCCGGAATGAATTACAAACAGCTCGCGCGTTACCATAAATCATCATGAAATAAGATAGATCTTATCTTGAACTTTCTTGTTAAGCCTAGAAGCGTATTGTGCGCGCAAGGGCAAGAAGCAAAAAAGTAATATTACGCGAATGACACTTGAGAAGAATGTCAAGCGTGAAGAATAGTTGAAAAAAAATCTAATTCCGAAATTTTACTTGAATTAATAATTAATAATGTACGATCAATAGACATTTACTCATTGTTTATGCCATTTTTTCCTTGGAAAGGCAACGTGACGATGACCTCCGACTCGGAAACTTCGTTTATCATAACATTCGGCACAATCTCCTCGACGATCGCGCGAAGAGCTTTCAGGTCCTTTTTGTCGATCGTCTCTCCTATTCCGCCCATCCCCGCCTCCCCGTTCGCGCAGTGCTCAGGCGGGAAGGATACGTTCAATCTGTATCCTCTTCCGTGTGTTGTTTTCAAGGACAATGGCGAACCGGTGCATAAAATCTTCCCTTTGTGCATCACCACAACAGTGTCGCTCAGCATGTCAGCCTCGTCTAGATGGTGAGTCGAGAGCAGCACGGTCCTGCCGACTCTGTGCTGGTCGATCAATCGCCAGATTCGCCGTCTAGCCGCAGGATCCACACCAGCGCCCGGCTCGTCCAGAATGACCAGTCGCGGCGAACCGAGAAAGGCCAGAGCTACGCAGAGGCGGCGTCGTGTACCGCCCGACAGACGTGACACGGGCTCGTGTTCCTGACGCCCGAGCTCCAAAGACGCTAGCATCCTGTAGGAAACAAAGACACGTGCAATGCGATTCTAGTGGAAAACCATGTTATCGAAATCTTTTGAATTCTAAGAGCAAAGAAATTATTTTTGAAATTACGCGCTTGATTGATTGAAAAAAAAAATTGAAGGTCGCTACTGATTTAATATCTTACTCGTCGACGTTTTTCTGCATGTCGATATTGTTGTCAGAAGGCTTCTTCAGCTTCCAGTAAAAGATCATGTGTTCTCTCGGCGTCAGAGTTCCGATGAGCACATTGTCTTGAGGACACACCCCTATTTCGGGCTTGCAACCCTCCGCGCCGTTTAAGCAAATTTCACCGCTGCTCGGAGCAATCATCCCCGTCAGCATCTTGCTGTAATGAAGAAACACGAGCCCTCTTTAACATCAGTCGAGTCGACGAATCGTTCAATTGCAATGCATTCGATAAATCAAAAATATAACACGCGACTTAAAGAGCTATTTGCATACATAATGGTGGTCTTCCCCGCGCCATTTCTGCCGAGTAGACTCGTCACTTCACCCTCGCAGAGTTTCAAAGTGAAGTCCTCCACAGCGACGACGTCGCCACGCTCGGTGTGATAAACTTTCCTGACACCCTCGAACTTCACGCCGATTTGCTTCTCGATAACAGTCAAACTGCTGATATCGCTCTCGTCATCTGCATTCGGCAACAAATGACAAAGTCGTTTTCACATCCAATTTCTTCGTATTTAAAATACAATAACGATGCTTACGCAATTGAAAGCAAGCTCTTATCAAATTTTACGACTACACTTTCAGGAGGAAAAGCGACTTGAAAAATTATTTGTAAATAGAAGCAATTCCGTGCCAACGGGTACAAATATTTTTCTGGCATTGAATTCCGATACCTTGAATCGAGTCACTTTCCGGGAACCAACACGTCCCTTTTAATTTACACTATCCATTTCCATGCGATGCGTGCAATACGTGCATTGCAAATATTGTATAAACATACAAGTTCAAAAATATATATTCGAAATATTTACGAGAAATCGTCTGATCTTAAAATACTTGCCATTGCGTGGAAATAATCGAAGAAAAAGCCTAAAAATATTCAGCATTTATTATGCGCATAATATATTCATACAAATGCAATTGCATGCTTGAACAGTGGTCACTGAATTAAATATGAAAGCGTTCAGAGATGCAACAAAATATGAAAGCGTTCAGAGATGCAACAAAATATGAAAAAGTATGATGCTCCAAAGCATATTTGCGAAGAGAACAAGAATAAAGAAAGAAAAAAAAACAAATTGACGCGTGATAACTCTGATCATACAAAAAAAAATTTTTTTTCTAAATATCGGGGCAAATATTGCCGGATTGAATTGCGTTTCTCGGAATAAGTTTTCCTCTAAACGACGTGAAATCAAATAAGGACGCGCCGTGCATCGGAAAAATACGGAAGTCGATAAAATTTTGAGCAGAATACCAAAGTTTCAAATAATTATACGCGCCGTCGCGCGTAGTTATGAAAATTTTTGACGACAATTTTCCCCGCGACCTCGGCGCGGAGCGAAGTTTAACCCAGTTTACGTCCTGTCTATCATAAGCATTCTCTTTATCCTTGCTCCTTCGTGTGCCGCAGCCCGACATGCGAGCTCGTCGCCGACGAGCGCGGAAGACAAACTTTCGTGCGCGCGGGGGAAGGAGGGTGCGATACCTTGGTAAGTGGCTGAAGGGTGGAGAACGTCGTTAGTGAAATAGAGGTTGTTGACGAAGGCGAGGTAGCTCGGCCCGCCATAGAGAGACCGGGTGTCGACCCACCATAAGCTACGGGATCTCAAACCATGAAAGCCCCTGCCTGGAAAATTATCGGTGATGCTCTCGTTCGTTTTGCAGATAACTCACCAGGTCTCCTCATTGACTTCTCTTAAACGACGCGCTCTCGTTGCGTCGAATCCGACCCCTGGACTTTTCTCGCAGATGCATCTCGTGATTATACGAGGGTGAACAAGTGTGCGTATGCGAGATTTATGAAAATGTGTCGCACTATCGAATCGGTGTGTGTGTGGTGGTGTTATTATTTTTCTGCACGGAGCCGTGTGGAAGAGATGCGTGAAAATTATTTTTATCAATAATACGCTTCGAATTATTTCGAACAATAATTAACAAGTTTAATTCTGAAATGTTATCTAAATTAATATAAGTGACTTGATGTGCTATAAAATAAATCATCGGCTTTAATAACTTGAAATTCATATTTCATAATTTTTTGACGAATAAAACGGCTGTTGAATTGATCAGCGCATAATTTCGAAAATCAGATTATTTTAATGAAATGTTATTGCAATTGAAAATAAACTCGCAATATAATTCTGATGATTTTAGTAATTGTTATCGACAAGTTAAATGAGTGATAAAAATCGGGTGTTGAGATAAACACACAGAAAGACATAGATATTCTGAAATAGCACCCCGAAAAGATCAAAAACTTTGTCCCAATTTCTTCTGTTAATATAAAGTTAATTTTGTGTGAAAAAAAATTGATATTTATAAATATCAGTCATGGTCGATCTCGCACAAAAAATTGGGAAGAAAAATAGTGTCAGTATCAGCCAATCTCAGCTAGTCACTCTTGACAGAAGAATATCCTTCACCAGAATATCAAAAGTTTATTTCCGATAGTACGTACGAATTGTCTGAAATTGATACCTGAATTAGTGTATCTGGCGACGAGGTAGCCAATCGCGGCGTACAGGCAACCGTCGAACGCGATCATCAGCAAAACCAATCCCAAAGACATCGGATCGCCAGGGCTCGATTCTTCCCACACACTCGACCAAGAGAGACCAGTGCCTTGAACTTCCTTTCGCACGGCGAAAAGACATCCGTAGCAGAAGCTGGTGGACATGCTTAAACACTGAAAAGTCAATCATTTAATAAACGCATAATTTTAATGCCATTGATTTAATTGCAGCTCACACTTTTCGCCGCCATAATTAAGCTTGTGTCTTTTTTTCTTTTTATTTTCTAAATTTAAAGGAGAATAAAATTGCCGATTCAACTCACGATTAAGAGTTTGTATCCGAGTCCGAATACGGCTTCCATGGCGATAACAATGACGTATGGCATGTAAGTTAACAGGAACATGACGACCGTAGTAACTGCGGCGAGACTAGCGGAGCTGAACATCGTCGAGATCATGTAGCTGGAATGTAATTAAGATTCTCAATGGTTAACTCCGAAGTAGGAAATGTAATTGTCGTTTCAAGACCGACTGCGCGAGAGATCCGAATTGATTACTCACCAAAAGGTTACCAGAGAGAAGATGTAATCGAAGAGTAGAACGAGTATCAATATGGGATTCGATCGTGGCAGGATTTTTCCAACCAATAAAATCAAAGCAATAGAAACCATCACAATTGACAGCTCCGCGAAAGACGTGATGAACCAAGCCAGAGTGTTTCGCCATGGTTTCAGCCCCATCACGCTCATTACCTGAAGACGTAAGACGTAATTATGTTATCGCGTCTTTTGATAAAAAAAAAAAAAATAAATCTTACGGCATTTATTTTTATAATTATCATCGTACCATCGAATTCTGCGATTCTCTCTCCCAAACGATGTGCCGGACAGCCGCGCCAACGCACATCATCAGCGCGAAGTAAAAGCACACCTGCATACCTTGAGACTCGTAAAGTGTCGTTTGGAATCTAAAAATTATCGTTTCCAATAATAAGTAATTATATCCAATTAATTGTCAATTGGATGAAAGACAACGGCGTTTTCAGCGGATTCACTTCTGACAATTCGATATTCTTATATGCCGGAATGCAAGATTTTCTTATTACTCACGGTATATGTTTCCAACATGGATACGGCATCTGTTGCGTGACTGTTCTCCAGTCGAAGTCTCGCCGAGCTTTCACTTTCACAATCGCACGATCGACGGAGTCCTGAAGTTGAATGAAACCTCGAAGATACCTGAGGTGTTCGAGAAAGCTGCTTTCCGGGCCGGGAATCCAAAATTGATTCTTCAGTCGCAGGGTGGACGGCACGTAATCCACGTCCATGCGAATCTTATAAGTGATATTATCCGGTAATTCGTAATCTAGAGATCGCTTCGTGCGACTCGATGAAGCGTCGTCCAGAAAGATCACCCCGGCCAAAAATTCGTTCGTGTCGGTCAAACGACTGGCCGCCATCTCCAATTCCTCCTCCGTGGAGAATCCTTTTGTCCTGTCCACCAGCACGCATCCCATCATGTCGTTTAACGCGCCGATCATCGAAATCAGTTTCTTCGATCGTTTTAGCCGCCACGCGATCTCGCTGAGATTCAGCTCGGAAAAGTCACCTACGCAACAACAATGTGGAAAAATAAGAACAGTCGTTTGCCTTCCATCTTGTTTCGTTAATTTTAAGATAAAGAGGCTTCGTGCTCGAGGCGTGAACATCACCTTCAAAATTGCCACCGCCCATCGATTTGATCGCAACTTTCATGACGTCGGACGACATTATACTTTGTAAGTCTCTTAAACTGTCGCCCATCTCGGAAAAACTGGCCAGAGACTTGAGGGTCTTCTCGAAACTATTCATCAGCACGCTGAAGTGTTCCATCTGTACGAAAGTTCCGTTCGCCAACGACATAACTTCCGAGATCACCGTGGTGTTAGGTGCATAAAGAATCTGACCGCGTAGCAAAGGCTTAACGTACGACCAGATAATCTTCCCTCCCGGCATGCCGAGCACACTTTTGTACGTTTCTCTACAGAAGTCATCTGCAATCGGAAGAGTTATTTTTTAACAGTAAGTCATATTTAGCGGATCACTATCTGTTGTGCCATATTTTTCTTACTCGGCAGAGAATTGAGCTCCTTCAGATCGTACGCTGTATTGCTATCTTTCAAGCTAGAGATAATTTTGTAAATTTGCCCGTTGTCTTGGAGCATTGTTCTGCCGCAGAGCATTTCGCTGGCATCCTTCAGGAATTGTGAATCTACGTAAAATTTAATTAAAGTTAAAATTTCACTTGACGTAATTCGGATAATAAATATTACATTAATTATTAATTCATATAACTTACTCGACATCGTTTCCTCTGTTTCTTCCGCGCTGATTTTTTCTATCTCATCTCCGGAAAAACTCTTTGACAATTTGTCTTTGAAAAATGGAAATAGTTCCGAGGCAACGCCGAGATTGTCCAGCACAATTTTCCCTTCCGTCTCGGTTAAGTTGGCGTTGGCCAATATATTTTTAACATTAGCGCTCATCAACTGAAACAGGCAAAGAATATTTTTCTAAATAGTTATAATATTCAGAAATCGAGATGGCAGTTAAATAAATAAGAATTTACGTTTTTAAAAACATAATCGAAGTTCAGATTCTTCATCAATGTGATAGCGATATTCTGCGTTTGCGAGTCTTCCAATTGACAGAGTGCAGAGCTGACTTCTTCGGCAGTTACGAGATTCTCCTTGAAGAGTAACATATCGCTGAGTTTCTCGGGCGAGCAAATGGTATCTTTTAAGCTAATGACGCCGCGTTCTTTCATGAAAATCGAAATCATGTCTATCTTCGCCTGGCTCAAAGTTAGCGCGATCTCATTAGTAAATCCGATTCTATCGATCAGAAACGTTCTCACTACGTCCCAGTTATCGAACATTTCGCTGACGACATCTGCAAAATGTAAATTACGTTAGAAAAAATTAACGATATAAGAGCTTTCAATAATTTATTACATTTCATATCCAGCAATCCTAAATTCTTGAAGATCTCCATCGATTCCAATGCCGCGATCATGCTGTGTAGATCATCGATTACTTCCCGATCGTCCAAAAATGGCTCTACATCCTCGAGGAGTTCCTTCATCCTATAAACACACATTTATGCATCGCATCTGTACGACAAATTTCGAAGAATAATGATACCGGATGAAATTTTTGTGAAGAAAAAATGGATTTTACACGCGTTCTCTCAATATACAACAGTATTTGAACACTTCACTTTTTAATGTATTCTACGTGAAATGGTATAATCGAGATATACATACCCGTCAAACAATTTATCGACTGTCTTATCGTATAATATATTGACTATGCCATCAGCGAGGTCGGGAACCCCGAGGACGTTGGAGACATCCTCGAAATCAATTTTACTAGCGACGTCCAGCAGATTCCCGCCTTCCCCGAGGATCAAGGACAGATGATTCAGGATTTGCTTCAGCCAGATGAAATCCCAGGAGGCCTCCGAGCGCCAGAAAGCCAGCTGCCGATTTATGAGATCCACATCGAGACTGCGAGCCAGTCGATCCGAAATGTCGGACACCGACGGATACTTGGACGCCTTCGGATCGTATCGGAAAACTTTACCTGCCCTCTTCGAGCTGAGAAAATTGTATAGAACTGTCGCGTTGTGGCATTCGACTTTCGTTCTGCACAAGCTCGTGTTGAGATCGTTCAGTATCGCGTTCACGTTGATGGTGGCGTTCGGCAACGCGGCCTCGATGTCAGCGAGATCGGACTTTCTCACCACTTCGCGCAACGGCTTCCAAATCGCCACGTGTCTCTCGGACAGTTTTGTTAAATTGTTGATATTCTCGTGAACGCTCGCCGTGTCCAAAATGAAAACGTTCTTCTCCAGCATGTCTAGCACGCTCAGGAGCAACGAGATATATCTTAAACGCGATAACGATAGTTTATTATTTCATTGCTGTTGAAAAATTTATTTTTGGCATAATAGGATGATAAAAAAAAAAAAATACTTACAAGCCTGGTCTGGAATAAGTAGGTCCGCCGATGAACTTGTAAAAGCATTCTGTCATTCTGTCGTCGTACGTCTCGTTTTGGAAATTGACTATGATGTCAGCGATGTAATGCAATGTTGTTTCAAATGTAGTTAAGAACTCGTCGAACGTCTTTATTTTGTTCAGATGTTTATAGCCCTCGATCTAATAATTTTTTTTTTTTTTAATTATATTATTACTTTTCAAACAAAAATTAGTGATTGAAAAAATATTTATCGTAGTTTCTCACCATGCTGCCTGTTTTATTCCAGTTAAACTCATTGGCCAAGATGTTGTGCACTTCCGATATATTTAATCGATTTATTTTACAGAGCAGCTCGCCGTAGCGAACGTGATACACCAACTGCGAGTTTAATATTTCTAGTAGAAGCGTAACGCACCACGTACAATTTCTGAAAATGCAACAGAGACAGCATTATTTTTATTTTGTAATTAGCAGATTAATCTCTATTTTTTATGACGCTATTTACTCACTCAACATCAATTTGAGTTTTGATAAGATTTCGCGCGATTGACACTGTTTTCGTCACCATTGCAGACGCCAGAGCTTTCGTGTCCTGTAAACGTTTTCAATTAAATTAATTAATTGTTTGATGGATAATTAATTAATCCATATTAAAAACATTTAGCAAATGAATGAAGCCCGTGTCGTTACAACATATACCTTTTTTCTATATTGCGCCTTAAAATCCTTCAAAGCGCCCTCCTCGAATGACGTCCACCAAGTAGGAATCTTTGGTTCTTTATAGCCTTCCGACAAAACACGAATCAAAGCGTTCTGGAATTCCTGCACTCTTTGGAATAGTTGCATTTCCTGGGCGGATTCTGATGTTTCAGTTAGCGACATATCCTATAAATTAATTCAGAAACGTGATTAAAATCTGAATACTTGAAAGCTTATCGCCGTCAATCGATAACAGTCCGACATTACATTGTATTTTCCACTGAAGGGCAACAAATCTGTCCACGTCAAACGTTTGCGACTCAGGACGATCTTTTGGCAGAAATTCGTGATGCTGGACAGTAAGCCTTTCTTCCTCATGTAGCTGGGTGGAATCAAGTATCGATCGATGTCGCAAGGATGCACGTTGCCGAGAAGGAGCTTCTGTATGAAATCATCCAGTCTTTCGGACGAGACAAAAGTATCGACCGCGGTGATCAGGATATTAGGCATATCCTCCACGAGAGTTAGCAATGGCTTGAACTTCGACGACTCGTACATGACGCGAAGCTTCTGCCAGATATCTCCGCCGGATGCGAGATCGACCACGGATTCCAGCAGCTGAAACAGTCTACTGGAGTTGGAAAGGTACTCCGCGTTGCTTGACGTCACGTTGAATCTGTACCACATGGAATATTGATAGCTATAAATCCAGGATTTCTCGGATTTTAAAATCAAGGCCCACGTGTCGTTGGATAAGTTTTTCCACGTCGTCGCGTTGAAGATGTTCGATTTAAGAGCAACTCTCGGCGACGTGCTTGTAAAATTCGATACGATGTCCAACAATCTGGTTAACGACATGGTCAATGGTATTGATCTTAAAATAGTTGACTGACCAGTGACGACATTCTGTGAAAAAAAAGATATACGATATAAAAAGATATTCGTAAGAAAACCGGATTTTTTATACAATTTCTGTAATTATTAGAAATCAAAAGTTCTTCCTGGAATTATTAAAACCAGAAAAATTGAAAGCTAATTCACATTTCAATTTCTAAATGTGATTGAATAAATTTGAGCTACATTTTCTGCGGCATACGTACATGATATTCGTTGCTTGTGGCGGTCTTTAATAACTGATAGGGATCGAACGAGCAGATTTCCTGCAGAAAACGCGTTCTATTTGGCGTGGACCAATAATCCGAGCCAAAGCGAAGAGTACACATGGTCTTCCTGATATCTTTGAACGATACGAATTCGCCGGTTGTGTAATTGAGCGTGCTGAGACTGGCAACTAGAGCGATGGTCTCTTCGGGATGAGCCTCCAGAATTTTTAGCACTTGACGCGTATCGCCGTTTTCCACCAATTGCCAAGTTTCTAAATTGTAGTTGTGCACTTTCGCATTCTTCAACGCGTCGCCAATGTGCATCAAAGTCTCCGACACACCTTCTATTAATAATCTATAATTCGACCATTCTTCACCCAATTTCAGCTCCTGAAAAAAATAAAAATTTATTGTGTAAAAAATGGATTAAAATTAAAATTTAATATCAATCGCAAAATTGTATCAAATATAATAATTATTTATCATCCATTTACCTTGTGAAAAGTGCTCTCTCCGTGTTTGATCTCCAGAGTATCTCTCAGTGATTGCAACAAGTAATCCAGATATTTTTTCGAAAAAGGCGGCTCGATAACCACATTGTTCTTCACCGTAAAACTGATAGCTTTCGCGAGATTATACAAATCGCCGATTATCGTAGCTATGTAAGAGCGATATTTGTTGACTGGCTTCTCCCAGAGCGTCGTTTCCGCCAGGTAAAGATCCGTGTAGACGTTGAAATTCTCAGGATCGAGATCGCAAGTAAAATTTTTCAGGGTCCTGTAATCTTTGGCGCTCAGGCCGATTTTAGTGTCCGACAACCATTCGAACATCATCGAGCACGAGACTGTGGTGTTATTTTTCAACGCTGTGACGATCTGATCGTCGATCTCGGGATCTGATATTCCGTTTACCAGTGTCGACAATATGTAAGGCAGTTGATCATGAAAAATGGTGACAGGAGACGTGTTATCGAATCCTAACAAGGCTAATAAAGTGAGTTTTCCCATGCCTGAAAGAAGGAACAACAACAAAGATTGTGAAATCAAATAGTAACATTGACTTTCTAAAAATCGTATCGGTGTTATTGTAATCTGTTAATAAAAAGGTGCTCTACATTATCCGCGTATATAAAGCGCACACTAGATTCAACTAAGTTTATTTGTTTTCTACATGATTTTTCTTATCTACATTATTTTTGGTGTTCTATGCTTCTTATTCTGAGTTTTTGTAATGTGTGCGCTGCTGAATAAAGTTTCTTTAAAATAAAGACTAATTATTAAGTTTAACCGAGTAATCAACATAATCAATACGGTTCGAATTCACTTACCGTTATTTAATATGTTAGTAGCGACACGTACACTCTTGTGAATGGTATAAGACAAAAATTTCAAAAGAATAAGAACGCGATCAGTAAGATCAACTGATTTCGTAAGCCAAATTTCGCTTGCAGTACGGTCGCTGTTGAAAACCTTGACCGCCTTGTCGATCTCCAGATCGATATGATTCAAAGTGTTTCTTGAACAAAAATTAATTCTCGTAACAACCAACTGTGCCAAAATATGAAGATATTTTGTACGGATCGAAAGACTCTCTTTTTGGCAAGTCATAAATCGAAAATGCTCCCATTTTTAAACGATCATTTATTATGCAATGCGAAATATTTACCCCCAATCGCTTTCCATGCCTGGCAATCTTTCTTCAATAATACTGTCCGCTTCTGTTGCGAGAGTGTTCAAGTACTTTGCGAATTTTGGTTCTTCCGCCAAAACCACATCCGTAGCATCATTTATCAAAGCGTCAAACTTCTCCACTACTCGTCGAAATTTCGCATAGCCCAAAGTCCAATTAAATGGCGGTATATCTACATTCTCGTCGTGCTCGAGCTAAAAATTAATATAGAATACGTATTTAATGTAATTTCTCTGACTGTGCATAATTTATTGATTCATAAATGATTAAATTAATCTGTTGATAAATGAATATGCAAAAGCTCACTATTTTTCGAACTCTTGCTAACATTGGCTGCTCCCTCCATTCTTTAATAAATAGAGCCGGATCACAGGCGATTTTTTCGATCTCACGTACGACTTCTCGACTTCCATTTCTCAATTCTAACGCGACGCCAACGCTCTCGTTCAAGACGCAAGGCCACATTGACTCGCGTTCCTTGTAATCATCAACAATTGATACCTAATGACAGAAGCGTTCATTAGACGACGAATATATTTTGTAGAATAATGTTGTTTAGAAAATATTGAATGTATCTGGAAGATTTCCTTACAAAAGCCACTGGCCGCAAAGTTATCATATCGACTACATCGAGGATGATTGGCGATAAATTTCTCAGAACCGCGCTAAAGAGTATCTCGGTCTCCGGCATATCTTCTAAAACGTCGGAGAGCCTCGCCACGTGACCGTTCTTTTGAATCTGATCGACGATTCTTTCGATATTATCGAAGATCATCGAAGTTGCCCATGCGACCCCATACATGCCCTTCCAAGCCGGTTTTCTTTGAATTCCGAATAGCGGACTCTCCATCACGTCAAAGAGCTTGCAGATTAAACCTACGCTGCAATATGTAGTGCGTCACCAAATATGTCATTAATTACGTTCATTGCTTTCTTAAATTTATAATTCATAAAATTCTTTTAAGAAAATTTAAATATTCGCGTAAACGAAAAAATGATTTTATTATCATAAATGAAAAGATCGATGTTTTTCGAACGATCGGAAATTTACGTCTTACCTGATCTCCCATGTGTCTTTTATTTGTATATCCTTCGTCCATGACGTTTTGAACTTTTGCTTTAATATCTCCAATTTTTTTAAATCGAAATACTGATCTTCTTGATGCACCAGAGTATCGACGTATCGGTAAATCTCGATCGTCTTTTTGTTGAAGGCCGTCCAATTAAATTCCCTCCGAGAAGCGTCGAAATCTTCCTCGATTTTGATGCTGGTTATGTTCAATTCCAAATTTGTTTGCATCGATTTGGATAGATAGCACATCAACTCTTTCAGAATCGTGCTGTTCGATTCTTTAGGGAAATTCAACAAATCGGGCGGATTCGGATTTATGCAATAGGCTCTCGTGAAGTTCGAATATTCCAAAATCTGCAATGTCTATTTAACGAAGATCGAATTGAGACGTTAAAACATCTACAGGACATAAATTATATTATGTAGAATATAAAAATTACGAGAAATCAATTGCGTTTCAGACTGACCTTTTTTTTATCCGTGACGGTAAGATAAAACGATTCGATTAATTCGGCTTCGTGTTCGCGCACTTTGCCGATCCAGTTGGTAGGATTAGTTTGTAAATCTTGCAAAATCATATCGGCCAGTAAATCCATATTTTCCAGATCTGGCTTGATGGACATAAAGGATAAACTTCGAAAGCCTATCATTTTTGCTATGCTCAGATGAATTCCCAAGCTGGAGAAAAATATAAAATATCAATGCACGAAGTTAGAACAGGCGGCGTAAAAAAAATTAATTAGAACATCGACAACGTGCACAATTACTCACATGTCTAATCTTCCCTGAAGTTGCATCTCAGTGAAAGTTTTTGTCCATTCATCGCTGGTTTGAAAAATAGTCCAGTCTAAATATGCGACTTTCCGCGCGTCCAGATAAGCCACGAAACTTTTGACGTTCCTCACCACGGATGTTAAGTTGGAATTCTCGATTCTGATTACTTGATGAAACGCTATACTAACCATAGTCGATAAACTTTTGCCCACCTAAAAGTGTGGTTTGTTTAATTGCGAAATTAAAGCGCATTATTATTTTGTTACAATCAACACGTACAATTTTCCCAAACTGCTCGAACTCAAAACTGTTATAGACGTCAACGATGAACCTTTTTCCATCATCGCTGCAGAATAATTCATTAATTTCGCTGGATTTGTCTCTGAACTCGATGTAATTGTCGAATATTTTATCCATCGTGTCTTTTTTACAAATCGCTTCGTCGATTTTTGTTGTTCCTAAATCTTCAACCAATTCCTGTGAGAAAAAGTTAAAAAATCACAGCTTTGACGATTTGATTTAATCGACGAATATATTTGTTAAGCAAAAAAAATATAATAATTCTGCACTACGGATTATAAGTCTCACAAACCTCTACAAAATCTAATCGGGAGAAAGATCGAATAATCGTTTTGTACACTTTGGGGTGTAGGTTTGTTAATATCTTTTGAACCAAGTGTTGATGCCTTTTAGAGATCTCGTTTAACCTTCTCAACGTATCATTATAGAGAATGGCAACGTGATGTGTCATTTGCACAATGTTATTTATTAACGATACGATGTACGTCATTGAATTCACTATTTTTTCGGAAAAGACGTCTCTGAGGCCATCGAAAACTTTGGCGGCTCTAAAAATTGAAGATTATGAAAAAAATGAGATAATATTAACATTCAGTCAAACATCGCTGATTTATATATTTCTAAAGAGAAAACACTTACAGTTCGAAATCATTCTCGTGACGGTCCAACAGTTTGTTGGTGAGCTTGATACCATCCTGCAAGATTAGGAAAGACAGGTCCAATATCTGCGTGATATTTTCATAATTATCCGAATTTGAGGAGAAAGCCGATATCGTCCCTCTCAATCGATCTATCACGCTGAAGAAATCATCCGTGGAATTGATTGCGCGGCGCTTCACAACTTCTTTTACCATCTTCAAAAGTCTGTTTAATTTCAAAAATCCGCTCCGCGCGAGGGGCCAGTCTCGTTGATATGCAAATACGGGATCCAGAACCACAAGGGCTTTATTGATACTGAAATTTAAGCGCCGCATTTATATCTTTCGTCGAGTTTCGGCGGAAATCGGTTAGGTTTCGTGGAAGGATTAGGGAAGGAGTACACTCCACAAGCTCCACAAGGAGTACACTTACAAGCCGAGGTCGATTTCCTTGAAAGTTACATTTTGGAAGACAAGGATCATCTTCGGCAGCCATTCGCGGAGCTTCAAGTACTCGGGTATGTACTTCTGGGATGTCTTTAGATCGAGGATGGTTTCCACCGCTCGCTTCAGATCTTGAAAGAAGTCGTAATCGCGAAATTTCGCCATCGCGCGATCGACCATCGCCAGCAGACCGGTAAAATCCAAATGTTTCGAAAGATTCTCCAAAATATCGGGGATCGCTTTTGGATCGATGTTGCAGAGGGCGCTCGAAATCTCCGCGAAATCTTCTTCCTTTGGTAGAATCAAATATTTCTTCAGGCTTTCTTCGGAGCAAACGACGCCGTCAATGTTAGACGAACCGAAAGTTTGAATCAACTGTAATAATAAGTTGCGCAAGTTTTATCGCGGAACGATGAAAATAATATATGGCGGAACTGGTGAGAAATAATTCGACGTAATTAACATGTCTGTTTAAACAAATCTAATTACTCACGTATATTAACTTTACAGACGATTCGAACAAACCGTCGACCAAACCCTCTCTCGCTCCCGGCATTTGAGATTTCAGTAAGTCCTTAATTTGTTCGTGATTATTGAACAAATCGCCCAAGCGGATTCCTCTATCTGTCAGACATATTCGTGCATTCAATTGCCGAAAATTGAACCAAATTAAATTATTTGCGTATAATCGTACCGAAAAGCGCCTTGATCTCCGGCTTTGTGAGTATCTGTGCCATTGACTTCAATAACTGAATACTCTGCGGCAATGTTTCCACAGCGGAGATAATTGTTTTGTTATTGAGCATCGGTTGCAGCTCCACAACTAAAGGACCTAAACTATAATTGTACAAAAAGAAAGGATAAATTTTCAGATCCGGCACATAAATTAATTAAATCGTAATTAATTGATTAAATTAGTTAAATCGTAATTGATTAGTGATATAGCTTTATCGGGAAAAAAACTAACGTCGCGTTTTTAAACGACGGTATTAGCTCGTATTCAGCTAACGGGTCGCAAGGACTTCCAACGCTGCATATGTAACTCTGCACGAAAGGCAGAAGCCCATCTTGCGGCATCGACCTTGCGGGAAATTGACATGTCGGATGATATTCCGGATCGACGTTATCGCGCACCGTGTAAACAAGCATGAAAACCGCCACGGGCCAGAGAAAGACCAACGCCAAAATTGCCTGAAAGAGATCACTCACGTAATTCATAGGAATTCTCAAATTAGAAGGTGATATTTTATTTTCTCATTTTACCGGTTGTCGTTTTCGCACGACGTAATTCTTCCAGAGAAGAAGTCCGAGCTGGTCGACCCTCATCTTTGACGGACGACAACCTGTAACACTATAAATAATTTCGAAGGCTATTTAATAGATTAAAGAAAAAAACAACGTGTTGAGCAATCAATTGCTACGTAGAAAATATCAAGAGTGCTTCGAAAATCGATTTCTTATAAAATTATTTCAAAAAATTAAACAGCCAATCTCCAAGATTATATTATCATTAAGAAAATATCTTTATCTTTTCCTTGCGACATTAATTGTTACAAAAGCGTTTTTCTAAGAAATTTCGATTCCTTTCTGCAAGGATGCGATTATGCTACTATGATTTTCCTTTACTTATCTGTGCGTTCGTGTGTTTGAAATCTTACATCTTATGTGTGACGACTTTACATTGCTATCTATTATATAATAACATGTTTATCTCCGAACGAACTGATAGATAATAATACACAGATATTATTGATTATCCGCACAAGATATTCAAACAAGGAAAAGCATGAGTATCCGTTAAAAAGAATAATACATGCAATATGAATATAGCAAGTTTTCATATAAAAATTAAGAAATTAATTTTGTATGGTATGAAATAGTATCACAATTTAAATACAATGCACTGCTTGTAGGTAAGAAATTAATTACATTTTATCTGTCATTATGCAAAGATCATTTCAAGTCGCAACAATACATTCAGCGCGAGAGATTCTTATAAGCCGAAATGCCATCTGAAAAATTGTACCTAAAGCCAGCGAGGATTTTCGCACAATACAGTGGAAAGTTTTGCGAGCTCGCGTGCGACCGCGGCGTATACTTTTCCGTCTAGAGTACTCGAAACGTGTGGAATCTACTTGAACCGAGTACACTTGGAAAAATGCTGCCGGTGAATGGTTGCCTATCAGAAAATTTTATCGTGGCATGAAGAAACAGCTGAAAATTTCTTACCGTACTAAAACTACATTCACGTCTTACGTATTCTATATCGAGTAGCACAATTATGTGAGTCATATCGGATTCCATTTACGAATCCGATATCACGCGCAAGTGTAATGCATTGCGGGAAAAATAGCACTTTGAACTTTATTGTAACTTTATTGTGAACAGAATGATATGAACAAAATTGACAACCTAATGAGTATTTTGGAAAATAATTAACAAGAATCGATCAACAAGAACTTTAAGATGCACGATTTCGGTCTCTATCAATATTAGAGATTTATTTTTCACAGTTATCACTTCTGCTTGCAACTATTTTTAGTATCTAACGATACCAATCACACATTACTTATTACATGAATAGTTCAGTGTCAGAGTTGTCTAATCAATAGCTTCTCTAAAATGAAATATCGAAGTTCAAACGATTATTTGCCACGCTGTACATTAATCAGTAATTATAAAATTTTGTCGTTTAGGGAACTCTAGCACTGAATCACTCATATTGGATTGCGTAATAAATAATTTTGGATTTTTTAAATTAATTTATCTTTTTTGTCGGCGCAGTTTAATTAGACGTAAACTAAATATTTGTTTGTCGAAGTTGAAATCAAGTTCCTCTCGTATCGCGAATTTTGCGCATTGCGTATTCCACTCATTCACAGTGCGGCTTAATTAGTTTACAGATGTTGATGTCACTTTGAAGAGATTTCGATATTTTTATGTTAAAACTCGTGATTTATGCGATGTCTTTCCATTCCGAAGATCCGTTCTCAACTATTGATTATTTTATTTAATACACAAACCAGTCTAAGCTTATTTGCAAAATTTCTACCTTGACAACTCTTCAACCTTCATCTATCTTTTATTATTCATATATACATTATCTTTCCTTTCCATATTTCGTCTCATATCATTTGATGTTTTAAATTTTAAATAACAGAATATAATACGGAATATATAATAGCAAAAATACAATAAAAAATATTTTAAAAATTAAGCAATGACATTTAACTCTCTATTAGCATGCAAACTTTAAACAATTCTGATTTAAGATCCGACATTTATAAAATTTTTTTCAGCACTTTTATTATTGCAATCAAGATAATTTATGCAGTCTTAAAAACTATAAATTATTGAAAGTAAAAACAACAACCTTCGCAAAAAGGACCCAATAAAACTCTGAAGGATAACTCTGTGAAGGTTGAATATGAGTGCATCGAATGTCATTTAATTCGTGTGGCTATACATAAATATTAATTTAATTTTAATTTCAAATATGCCATATCGTTGATTTTTTTTTAAACTGCATAAATCTTCTTAATTGCGGAATTTGTAAATGCTGAACACCGGATCAGAGTTACATCCATTGAAAAATTGTAATATTATCTAGTTTTTTTAATATCTGCATTTTACTCTGTCTGTTATTATAATCAAATACATCACAATTTTATGACAGCAACGGAAAGTAAATCATGAATGCATTTTTTCTCGAATTTTCCAGGATTTAATTAATCTCGGATTGATTTATCTCGAATCTTATTAACTTATGTTAAATAATGAGAAATAGAACAAGAAAACTACAAAAATTATACACTGCAGCATCCACTTAACATTTTATTAGCTAAAGTTCAAGACTGTCACATGCGTCAGCTTCGAAGAAATGATGTAAGAAAAGGACTGCGCTTCGCGGGAATGGAAGGATAAAATTCATGTTTATCTGCGAGTATCGAAAGTGGAACGTTTATACTGCAATATTTAAAGCAAACATATAAACAGCGTGACTGATGTGCGTGTCCGTCGATACAGCTGCAGCCGGAAATGCGTACCGTTCTCTGTCGCGTGCTGCACAGATGACAGGATGCATTACAAAGATATAGAGCAATGAACCGAGTGGCAGTTTTCGTGCCAGGATAAAATGCGTATCAGAAATAAATGTCTTGCCTGCATCAATCTCCTTCCGGAGAGAAATTACAAATGAAAAATATCATGCACAAAAGCCGGAAGAAATATGCTCATCATTTCCGGTTATTAGTCGTAGATAATTTTAGCTTTTGAAGAAATAAAATTGCAGAAATACGGATATTGCAACAATTTCGAATATTCCAAACATATTTTAGAGGAAAATTATATCGAGAAAAAATATTCGATATAAATATTATTGCATAATTAAGATAAAATAATACAGCACTTAAAGTCATACAGCGTAACGCAAGAAATTTTTGACGATAACGCGAATTACGATGAATACAGAGAGCTAAATCCAATGTCATATTTCATTAAGGAAGCTTGCCAATTTCTTCAGTCTTAATCGTGACCTCCAAACTAATCAGCATTTGTAGTCAACATATATGACGACCAGTCATTTGTTCACACAATTACATGAATCTCTCATGTGATAACGAAGATTCGTAGTAATTATTGATTTGGAAATTTTGTAGAAGGGTGTCATTAAGATAATCGCAGATGATACGGCTGCATTTACGAAGAGCTACATGAGTACGTGACTATAATGCAATTAGCGATATACGAAAATACAAGTATGTATTCCTTTGAATATTCTGCAACGCAGCCTGCGTCCGGTGCATACGATATATAAAGTGAATCACGACTCATTTAGAATTCTTTGGAATAAAGAAAACAAATATAAGATACATTATTATTAAAAATACATTTTGTATAGATTTATATAGATATTTAGATAAATTTTATATTAAAAATTATGGAAAATTAAACGATAAATCGAGAAAAAAATTTATTTTATCGTTGTTTGTTTTTTCGAACAAATTGCTGATTATATCACGATCTTCCAACCACTTTGCATATATAAGTAGATAATATTGTATCTTTAAAGAAACGCAAACGTAAAGATATTAGTTTATTGAATACCGAATCAATAAGATCAAAGTTGCGCGCTACAATATTATTTACAATACATTTCAAAAATCTTTCAATGCGCGTGCTCTTTGTTGCTAAAATATCTTATATTGTATAAATGTATGAAAACGATACAATTTATTTTTCCTAAAGAAGATATTCCACGGGACTTTTAAATTTCGACGTTGAATTCATCTAAATTCATCGAAGGACCTAACGAGAATTATATGACACACGTGACATACTTATGTATTGGTAAAAAGATTGCAATACTCTTCGACGAATTTTGAAACGGCGCAAGAATCACGAGGACAATTGGCCATCTCACAATTTTCGTGTGCATTTCGAAACTCATATGGAAAGAATAGTGTTGAAATTTTTTTCACAATGTTACAAGAATCATATTATCTAAGCACATAAATTTTTGCAAAATGTCTGGAATATCGTGATATAATCAGCGATTTGTCAGAAAGAACAAACAACGATCAAATAAATTTACACTGTTAATTTATCTACTGACACATAAGTTTTCTGCCTTTAATCGTTGACCAGCAATCTCTGATGTCTCCAATGGAACGTGGCTCTCTTTTTTCAAACTATGATTTAAACAATGATGTCATTGCGAATAATTGTAATCAAGGTAATGACTAACTATTTTATTCTTTTTATTCACTGATATCTATGATTGACTTTATTATTTATAATGCATCAAGTAACTTTTTAATACAACAACATACATCACCGATGTCTTACAATAATTCGTTTAATTCGTCCGTAAAAGCGTTTTAATTTTGCAATGTAATATTTTATTTATTATGAACTTGAAGAAGACCTGATAACAGATCGAAACGTCGTTTTTACTATTTGTCTTTGAATACACTAGCACGACCATCTAGCAACGGCTGTTTAGCTTCTTATTTATTCCCTTGAACTCATATTTTTGTTAAGAAATCAACAAAATCGTATGAGCGATCTAAATGACCTAAACAACTTTTTCCATCTATAAGAAATCACGTAAAAAGACAAATTCTTCGGCTATAAAAAATGTAATCATCATCGGATATTGCATTTTTATTAGTGACTAGTGAATTGCAAATCGGTTATCATTATCGATGTAAATTTCTGGTTGCACAGAAGGTCGGACAAAAAAATAGGCATTTCAGTTCGTGTCCGGAGCTTCGTTTATTAACACTCCGCGAACAATGTATACTTTCACTGTGCCTGTGCGCAGTTATGCGAGTCGCGGCTACGGCGCCCGAATAAATGCGAATTATTTCGTAACAGTCACGCGTCCGTTGCTCGTAAGTGTGGTGATACTTTTTTGTACGCGCTCGAATAAATTTGCGCGATACTTATTATTCTTCCCTGTGAATGACGATTAAAATTTATCATTTACGCAGCCATCAATTAAATACTGGATGGTTTTAATCTTAGGTTAATTATGCTTTTGGATCATTTCTGTGTTATAACACATAGACACATCGTACAATATAGAGATGGCAATTGCGCAATCTCTAAATTAATATAATTGCTAATTAAACTGCAAATAAAAAACAGTGTTTATCCGTGCAGTTAGAATTTACATTCAATTTTTTCTACAAAAATAAACAAAAGCGAACGATTGCTGCAATGAGATTGATTAAATGTGCAGTACATCGTCAACCGGTTCTCCTCACGTTTTCGGGCGAAAATTTACTTGATTATTAATATGCGCGAAACGATGTACAGTTTGAATATATACTAGTGTCGTTGGCACATAATTATTATACATGGCGGTGTATTGTTACGACAATGCAACTGCGACGATGCAACTGCAAGACGATAATGTGTTTCATAAGCGTCCTTCCGTATTTGCTACCGACGAACTATTTGATACGAAGATTTATTAGTGTCAAATTAATAGATATAAATTTTTTGTTAACAAACTGGATACCTGTAAAATTGAATTGGATGTATTGCTTAAAAATGATTCCCAGTCATTTCAGAGTTGTCGGATGTCGGATTAATTTGAAAAAGATGTTCCGAGACTTTTATTGTCATGGACAAATCTTTTGTGTTTTGTATAAAAATGAACAGTTTCCGCTGGCTTTTAATTTTAGCATAAAATTGCGAAATAGGGCGAAGATCACCAAGGAAGATCAGCATCAATAATCGAAGAAAAAGAATCATAAGTAATGTGACCTACGACTTTTCCCTATAAGGCTAAATTATTAATTTATACCTCACAACAAGATACTAAGTCATTAAATAAAATGAAAAAAACTATTCTTGGAAGAAAACGATTTTTATATGAAACACGTATAATTAATACGCTAAATAAACACGTTATACATATTATATCAACTTTTTGCGTCAACCTTTTGCGTTTGCAATATGGAATGATCATGAGTAATATGAAACTTTATCAATTAATATGAAAATTTATATTAACGTTTAAGTGTCTCTATACTTTTGCGTAGACTTATAAATATTTATGATTGGGCGCTACAATTACGTTATTACTTTTTTTTACTCTTTGAAAAAATGCACATTTTACACGAATATTAATGCAATAAATAAGTATGCCAGCAAACATCGACATTAACGTTTTCAAGTCACAAACATCAATAATTTATGTATTTGATATGAAATAAAATAATATGTTTTGAGTAATTATCCATTCTTAATAATAACACGCGAAAGAAATGTATTAGATTCGATGTCGTGATGCAATGATGTTATTATATTTTCTGATGCTTTGAAAAAGGCAATTAATTTTTTACAAACATTAACAAACAAGTATGACAAGAATTAAAGTCCAATAATCGATGCATTCGAAATAATAACGTCTAATCTACAAGAACGAACAAATGAAATTATTAATAAATATTGAATTGCAAATAAAAAAGAGACGAGCGAGGATGATGAGCGGTTTAAAATATTAGATATAGACCGCAGTTTTTCCGCGGACAACCAATTCTTTTACAAAACACATAAATTTAGAATTGTAAGTAAAGTTACATAAAGCATGATGACATTCGATATAAAACAGAATATTAGTCGTTAGTTAGTCGGGTAGCATATAATTAAAAAAGAATTTATTATCTCTGTAAAATGATTGCTTGTTGGAAGTGTTATATAAAATTTACAAACAGATGTATAAAAAAAGTAAAAAAAGTTTTTAAAAAAATGTTATAGACATGTAAATGAAACGTGATAATAAATTACTGTAAAAAAATTAAAACCAATACAAAACCAAATAAAAACACCAGTGCGCGTAACTCAGGTTTATCTGGCAAATAAAGTGAACCACAAGGCGGAAAGAAGGAAATCATTCAGTTGTCATTGATTGCCTTTGCGCTACCATCTGCGTTTGACAGGTGTGAACCCGATTCTTGCACCGCGTACGCATCGCGTGTGAATGGCAAAAGCCTTTACAGGAGGGAAGTTCAGGGCCGCGTGCAAACCGCACACAAAATAACCGCGCAAGTACGAGAAAGGAGTGCATTCTTCGTTTTTCTCGGAAACCTCGAATGATCGCTCCGCCAGCAACAGCGGCAGCTGGTCGAGCAAGTTTCCCGATCGTCTGCCGACGATCTCTGGAGCCTCGTCCGGAGATCGCGCAGCGTAAGAGAGAAATCGCGTAAAGTTCGCTTGCGTTCTCCCTTAGCGTCTCCTTTGCGTTCTCCAGCGGCAAATTGCCGTCATGGCAAGTGGTCACGGATTGTTTTCCAAAAAAGCCATTAGCCGTGACATTTAAAAGTTGAAGAATTATCAATTAATATCAAGGATTATTAATAGCGGATAATAACAGCATAAAATTGAATCAGGAAATACTTCGCAGCTACGTCTTCAGGGACGCGCGTTTATCCTCGTATAATTAACCGTTCAATAAGTATACGTTATTTTCTCACACACCTTGGAAACGATGAAAACATGGAAATGTATCGATTGATCGTACCTCTGTTTTCAAAGTGACTCTTATCAAAACTTCAGATTTGCTTCCACTGCGAAGTGCGTATTATTTCTGCTTTGATTTTCCAGTGGATAAAATAATACAATATGAGAAACCAGCACAGGACAATAATGACTTCACCGACCACACGACTTCACCACACTGATGTCAACTCGTTTAGTTTCATGATTAATATTCATATTAACACATTCTCCAATTGAAACACATATAAAGCAAATAGTGCAGTGTAATCGTTTTCAGTAAAAAACTAGTATTAATTACACGTGTAAAAAAGAAGTTGATTTTACGAGCGATCCTTCAAAGATGATATATTACCAAGATTTTAAATATGAATCACTCTCTTCTTTTATTTGTTTCTTTGTCTTTTGTAAATGTAATTAGAAGAGTTTTACACGATACTTACGGCTTTCAAACAAGCTGATCACCTTGTCTTTAACCGGTTGAAGTTCACGAGCTAAATCAACACCAGCGCGTCAGCGATATATCCTCATCGATCCGCGCGATCGAGCAGACGCGCAAGTTGCGATTGCACAACATAAATCACGATCGAAGGTCCACGCGAACCTTTTCGGAGCACATCTCGCGTGCGTGCGCGCGCGCACACTTCGAGGAGCGGACCAAAGAGTGAAGAACAGCCGTGGATGCGAGGTCCAGAGAACTGCTTTGCGGTCGGCTCGCGAAACTCACGCGTATCCACCGAGAGCGAACTTGCTCCGGCTTGTTTTCTTGTTTCGCGTTTTTTCTTAGCTACTTCTCTCAATGGCGCCGGCCGGCAGAGATGACGACCAACGTTCATGTAGTTGAACGACGGTCGGCGGACGACTGTTGCTACTACTGTGATCCACGACCACGTGGACCTTCGAGGTGCCATACACTGTCCGCTTGTCTCGCGTGTGTTTGTATCCACGCATGAGCGAGCACACAAGCGAGCGCGCGAGCGAGCGTGCGATCATAAATCGTTCCTTGATCGAATTGATCGATCGAACGCACATTAATCGGGCAAAGTGTCGAAAATATCGCACTGAAATCGAAATCTTAAATAGAAATCTTAATGGAAGACATCCTGGTTTCCTCAATCAATCGCGTTGATCGATAATTAACGGTACTGCTTGTTTCACGGGATATTTATAGTTTGAGTGCGCATGTGAATTGAAATAATCTTGATAGCGCGTGATTAACGACTACTTCATTCAAATTAATATTCAAAATAATTTAAAATAATTTAAAATAAATTATCTCGCGAATTCGAAAATAAGAGACGCTTATTTACAATAACTGTACAAAAATTTGTTCAATTTCGATGATAACATAATTATTTCGGGAAGAGAGAAGCGCGGAGATTGTGTCAAGATTTTCAGAATACACTTACCGCGTACGTGCGCGGAATCGTGCAAGAAATCACAAATCTTCGTGAGAAAAATAGGGAATTCTACATTCCAATCTCGTGTGGAGTACTCACGATGGTACCGCTATTCACAATATCAATTTATGTCGTTTAATCTGTAAATAGATCGCAGTATCCAGCACAATAAATCGAATGAATTAGTGGGCCCGATTTCAGATGCACACTGCACAGGATATTTGATCCGTTAAACTTATCTAATTAGCGCAACGATTGAGTTTCCAAAGATTTAGCTTGCATATCGCGAGGAGCGGTAACTTGATCATTTATCAAACAACGCTGATTGCCAGCGGTGGGGCCTATCGACCGACCTTTCCCCCGACGAAGACAATAGTAACAGCGATTTCCATCGACGACGGTCTGGCCACTTGCGATGATTTAGCATTTAAATCCATTATCGCGGTTTACCGATGCGTGTAAAGCGCAGCCGTAAAGAGAATACATGATATAATGAAATAATATTTCACGCCTGTCTTTCGAAAACTTTCACTGTGAGGGCGATATAAGCGCTTTATGAATAATTAATTAAATCGTCGGAATAAAGTTGAATTAATTACGACCGTGATTATATGCATAACGCAGATCTCATTGTAACATAATACGTTTAAAAATGATGACGAAACTTACGTCATCTATTTTGAAATTCTTGTTATTCGAACGTATATATGTCATTAATACGTCACGAAGTATTTTAGAAAAATATTTTTCACCAATTTCGATACACAAAATTGACAAATACTACTATTTAGGTTATCTTGCAGCAATGCAGTATGTCTCTTCATTACCGCGCAAAGTAATTTAATATCTCTTGTTTTATCACAATGCCAAGAATAATTATTATTTCGTATCACAGTAATATTATCACAGGATGCTTGTTACTGACCACAGCAATTCCAATGCACTATGCAATTAAATGTATATATATAAAAGAAAAGAATTTTAAGATTCATGATTTGTGTGTGCCACACAATTGTGCGACGGCAAGAAATAATGATCCGGCATTTACTAAGAAATTTCTTTAGAATTTATCAAGTATTATTTTTAAATTTCCGTTTAAAATAAAAATGAAGAATCGTAAAAATATAATTCTTTATTTATATGTTATTACAAAAAGTTAATAAACATTTTTGCGCAATAAATTGGATATATCCTAACGTTATTATGAATGCAAAATGTTTCACCAAATGTATAAAATGCTGTTTTCAAAAAAACAACTATATATAAAATTATTTGCTTTTTATGAAAATAAGCGAATATGGGAACAATATTATTCTGAGAAATGTTTGTGATTGTCAGAGCTGAGAATATTAAGCTGAATTTGGCGCGACATATAATGCGATGAACGTCGCAAAAGTAGATAGAACGTCGACTACCTGTGACCGATAAAAAAAAAAGAGACGTACCCTTTTTCGAGGCATATCTAAAAATAGGTATATGCGGCGTAAAAAGGAAAACCAGTTTGACGAGATCTGATCTGAATTGGACGCACTCGGCTTCATTAAAATTGAGAATTATAGCCGCATATGCATTATGATTATGTACGTTACACGGTATACATGATGCGTTACGGACAGCGAAAAGGTAATCTTAACAACGCATTCGGGTAAGCGCATACATGCGCGCATGTATGCTAAGTGCATTCACGTTACGTGATACATCGCAGTAATAATTGTTTACGTGTAAATTGGCATAACGTTAATTATGATACTATTAGGGAGCATCGTAAACATAATTTACCAGGTCATCAAGGTACCATTTATTGCTTCGTAATAGTCGCCGCGAGGAGATGTCGAATTTACGATAAGCGCGGAGACACGAAGGGACCAGTACGTGCATAAATAATGATTCATACATTATTGATGATTTATGGCGATTTGACTATCAGGAGAGAACGGAATATTTAATGAAATAGGAATTTTTACATTAATAATTCCTTCCAATCTGCTCATATAAAAATACATAAAATCAGAAATTGCCTAATTTGTGTGGACTCGCTTTTTAATAAAATGTATTTTGAATTAATTTATTGATTGTAACATTCGATATTTAAAATAAGTAAATAATGACGTTAAGTATTTTATAGAAAATATTATCATTAATTATTCTTGTGTTACATGAAGACAATAGTTTATTCGCTTAGAATATTACAAGGCAACACTCAGATTCTCCCATAAACGTTCACCCGCGCGTGGCTGGAGAGAATTTCCAAGATAAGACGAATAGTCGCAGTGAATGGTATCTCATTAACCGACTTCTCACATGTTTCCGCAATGGCGTCAGTTGTTCTACGTGCAACACTGATCGATCGCGGTTGATATTTCGATATTGTCTGACATAATTTAACGCGAACATTGTTTCTCTGCAAGACGTGATTTTATTAACTTTGCCATTTGTCTCTTGATGATCTGGTTTTACAAGACCAAATCCGCACGAAAGCACGGAAAGAGAATAAAAAATTAGAGGAACAAAAGGAACATTTTAAATGTTTAATAAATATTTGTAGGCGCGCATTAAACACTTAAATGCCTCGTGAAATTCAGATTTATAGATATTTATTAATTCCACTGTAATTTAAACTTTATAAAAGGCGCCCGTAACAGAATTCTACGCGTTCTAGGCGCGTTATTTGTTTCCCAGTTATTATATTATTAATAAATCCATATTACACATTTCTAACAGAATAATTGATCAAAACGTGTTATTAATATTTGGTATAAGTTTTCAAATTACAACGTTTGAAGTTTCTGCATTTTTGTATATGAACTACACACACAGCGTTTATGAATGTGAAATAATATTGTTAATTGCTGTGATAGATTAATATTAAATTCTCTGTGACAAATCAAATTACTCGTGCAACCAATATATTGAAGTAGTCACCGCAAAGAAAGCACAGCGCACAGAAAGAGAACGATTAGCGTAAGAGCATGAATGAAGTTCGACAGTTTCGACTTTCGACTCTACGTGTCTTTTTTTAAAGTGGAAATAGATCAATAACGGGACTTGACAGTAGGCATAGATCGTTCGCGCTTGGCCGACTACGCGCGCCATTGGGAAAGGAAATACGATCGCGACAAGATTCGGTTCGTGAAGCCGAAATGAGCGTATGTACATGTGTGTGTATATATAACTGCAATTGCGGCGATCATTTAAACGCGCCGCGGCCCTCAAACGACTCCCGATTCGTTGTGAAATGTTTTTTCCGGCCGTAATTTAGTGGACACTCCATACCGGCAATTAGATAGCATCCGAGGTGGGTAACGCGGAAAACATTGCATAAATCCGCGATCCGCCGGCGCGTCTCTAACGAGCTACTTCGTTCTTCCTTTCCTTCCGTTCTTCAAAGCAATATTCTTACACGCGCTGCCTTACACGTGCGATTTATCCTCCGCCGCGAGATAGCACTCTCACCCGATCGAGAATGACGGGATGCTGGAAAGAGCCAAAGCTATCCGTGGTGCAGCGAACGATCGTGAAAAGTAGGTTATCGTAATTGTGAGAAAAAGGAAAGATCATACGCCGCGTATTTGAGATCCAGCGACTTCTTCCTCCAGGCTCTTAAGTTCAATCCGTTAAAATCCGGATTCTGCGGATTCAATGCGCCGATCCGTCTGGGCGAATATTAAGTAACGAAATCGTGAGCGAGCAATCAGCCGGTCTGTTATTTTGATTTTTATCGCCGTTGCTCTCTCGATTGCGACACACCGAATTCCCCTTCTAAGAAAATTTCATTGATTGTGCAAGCAGTCGTTTAGGAAACACTTCATCGGCTAAATATACCAACGTGACCGAGTAAATCGCTATTTTAACCCTGGAATCACAATTGAAATTCTTGTGCGTACTTTTGCCTTGATACTTACATTCTTCACATAAACGTAGTACATTAGACTTGTAATCAACTGCCACTGCCTAATTTTACGTCTGTTTCTTTGTTCTTCCGAGCATTATATTAATTTTTACCGCTGATGTTTGACATTGCATTTATCAGTGTTGCATAATTATTGTAGAAATATTTTTATCATCTAGTTTTTAGATTGCTCAAAGTATGTCGCGGCTTGTGCACAAGAAACGTGATCTCTATGAAACTGTTACATACGGCGCGCAGACCTCCATCCGCTCCTTGGGAGAAAATGTAATAATAAGCGCTAAACAGGAAAGCCGGAATAAGATACGAGGTATTAATTTATGCAAATTGTGTGGCCGAGACTCATTGCCTTGTACTCATGTATTGCGAGCGCAAGGAAATTCGATAAAAGAACGAAATAAAACTCAAGTGAGGCTCAATGTCAATGATTACGCAAAAATTCTAACTCCTTGATATCGTTCTCTAATGATGAGCGAGGGCCCCTAATTTTATCACGTGGCAGCTATAAATTGTGTTCGCTCAAACTTCCGTGCGTGTCGTTTCGCGATTTGCGAGGAGTCACTTCGCAGAATGTGATCTAACAACGCGCAATCGTTATAAGCAAAATATTAGAAATTAACGTTCGATGAACATAATGTCTATTCCCGATAATTATAGCGAAACACTTCTCGGCGGGACAAACACAATTACGTAAATGAGCGTCGCATGTGATCGAAGATATTCTCGAGCGTTTCCGGCTCTTGAAGTAAGTAAGTGATACACTGTATACACCTTGAGATAATGTGCAACTGTTTACTTGAGATAACACGTGTGTAAAATGTCTGGAGTACAATTAAATTTTATATCTGTAGCGAACTTGCGCCGCGCAAATATAATCTTTACGACTTTCAAGGCAATTATCTTAAAATTTTCATATCGGAGAATATCTCTGCATTATTCTTTTTCAATCGGATAAAAGTCTTTAGAATTTATAGAATTCTTTTCGAAAAGTAAACTTTTATCATGCAATGGAAAGCTCTGTATAAAATAGGATATATCAAACATATCTAGATATCTGGATATGTTTCTATATAATTACTTCTACTATGGATCAGTATTTTCAATCATACTCTGATACATCAGACTGATAATAAATTTTCCTTCCTTTATCAGCTAGCAGATTGATGTGGATATCGAGGAGATACTTTAATTGGCACACAATTACGTATTGGCACATAATTATAATCAATATATTAATTGTAATATCGGAAATATTTGAAAGATAGATTGCATACAATTAATATTTTTTTAGCATAAAGTTTATTCGTAAAATATATTTTTTTCAGAAAATAGACTATTTACACAAAATATTTTTTGCTATATATAGATCTTTTGTTACTTTTTTGCCAGTAAACAGGTACGAACTAAATATATTCGAAATCATTAAAAAACCATATGCAATTGTTAAATTTTTTAATTGTTAAGTTTTTTAATTCTTTTGATTTATTAATTCGAGTAATTTGGGTTGGAGAACAGAAAATATTGGAGAATATAAAAATTTTAAGCAATTCTTTATTGATGTATAAAAATTGCATTAATATTAATTAATAAATTTAACATTTACGAAATTATTCTTGTAGAAAAAGTTCTTGCTAAAAATTTCAATGAAATCCTAGGAATATATTTCAACGTATAAAAGATGCAAAAAATTTATGATAATTCTTATGTACAATAACTTTTACAACTAATATAATAAATTACAATTGAATATAATTATTTTAATGCAAAATAGTTTTAAACTTTAGGTTTATTCTTATTATTTCGGTTATACGTGTACTAGTTATAGCAATAAATGTCGTAGTCAAAAATGTTAATAAAGACGAACAGCGCATAAAGAACAGTAAAACGAAGAAAATTCGTTAGTGATATGAAGTTATCTATACTTCCGGGAAACCGCCGTTAAAAACTGCGTCCGGTGGGCGTTTAAAAGCATCGCGGATTTTATGATTATACTATATTGCCGGTTGTTATAATTAATACTAATTAGTAAAATCGGAAAGAGAATATATAATGCTGCAGGTAGTAAAAGGTGGATGCAAATTGAAATTATGTAATTATAACAATTGCGATTTCAACATTTTGTTTCTATTTGAAATCTGAGAATTTTATTTGCAAAGATTTGAACTTTCACGAATCGGCAAAATAGCATGACAATATAATTATATTATATAAGAGATAGCGCCGTTTACAACTCTAGAAGTTGCAATCTTATAAATGACTATTTTATTTATTACGAGGAAATATAAGACCACAATCTGAAAAAAGGTAAAATTGTCTAACTATTGCTGCATTTGGGTCTCAATTTAGTAATTATCACTATTGCAATAGCGGGCGAATTGCTAATATTTTATGGAGTAACATTACATCTATATTTTATATTTACAAGTACAGAGCGCGCGCTACGTTTGCTATTAATTCTTTTAATTACAAAATAGATTATAATTATATTTAAGAAGACACTTTTGAATATTTTCTATTAAAATACAAGAATAATAAAAAAACCTGTACTAACTTTCTCAAGATATGATCTGTCAAAGTGTACTTTCGCAATGACAATCGCTTGAGAACACGAAGTAACTCGAGGCACGCATCGAGATAACAAATCAGCATCGCAGAAAAGAAATAATAATGAAAATTTACATGCTTTTTTCAAGAGTTTATATCAAATTTATTTATTATAATAATATAATAATAAAAAGATTAATAAAATATTTTTACGTTTTTAATTTTAAGAGAACTTCTTTTGTATATCGTTTTTTTTTTGTTATTTTGTTTTTAATAACTCTGTTACACAAATTGAAACAATAAAGTATGCATAACGTGCCATCTGTCATTAAAATAAAAAGTTAGAACAAAATTTAAAAAAAAAACTTTTACGCGATTGATGATATTGTAGAATTCTGCAATACATTATTCAATGGATAACAGTCTAATGTCTGAGAAAGACTTATCGATAATAAATTATTATTTGCATAGTTGAAAGACACTGCGCTAATTAAATTTGTAATTCTAATAATTCTAATAATACAAAATAAAAAAAAATTTTCTTTGAAATTTAGAAAGCTTATAATACTTGTTAAATTAATCAATTTACATGATTAACTAAAAAAGATACTCACAGTGAATATTGATCAAAAAAGTAATCTATTAAGATATAGAAAAACTATTTTTATTTTTCATAATAACACATGTAAATTTATTTTTATTTATTATTTCTGTATTTTTGTTTATTAATTTTATTCGAATTGCTTGCAGGCATATTTTATGTTCGCTGTTATAATAGTTACATGTCATTTATCGATAACAAATAATTAAGCCTGTAATATACACTCATAAAAAAAAATCCAGAAAATTTAAATCTGAAGGAGAAAGGAATGCACAAGCATTTGTTCACTTTACCCTATCTAATTTCTCTCTCTCTCTCTCTCTCTCTCTCTCTCTCTCTCTCTCTCTCTCTCTCTCTCTCTCTCTCTCTCTCTCTCTCTCTCTCTCTCTCTCTCTCCCTCCCTCCCTCCTCTCTCTCTCTCCCCTCCCTCTCTCTCTCTCTCTTTTTCTCTCTCTCTTTCTCTCTCTCGCGTAAAAAATTTTATATAAATACTATTTAACAATAAGCAACATTTATATATTGATGCAAAATGATAAACTTTTTTTATATTTACACATAAATAAAAGCGTCAAAGTTTTTTAAAGAACCAAAAATTATTTTTAACTGATAAAATTTATGTTTCAAAGATAAATAAACAATACATAACAAAATTGAACCATTACCGTAAGATTGTTTTGCTTAAACTTTTTTCGATTGCGATACTATCACGCGCTAACATTATAGAAGATAATTTATGACCAGTCTTGGTGAATCGAACGTTAGTCGCGCGCCATCCTTCTCTTCGACAACGTGTGTCGCGTGTGGTCTGCCGTACAAATGCATTATACGATAAGTTACATTTAAAGCACTTAAATACGTTTATCTTTCGATTATATTTGAGTTTACTAATTTTATCAATAATTCAAATAAATATATTTGGCTTATTAATAAAATTTTTAAGACTTGAAAACCTCAAGGACATAAAAATCAGAGTTCCAAGTATTATTTTATCCATTTTTTGTGAAAAGACATCAACGTAGGAAAACATAAATTTTAAAGATGGCTTGCCCAATGTTAGGGGGTGTCGTGTAAGTAATACGTTATCTAAATATCTAAAATAATATCTAAAATAATATCTAATATCTAAAATATTTAAATATTTAAGACGAAATTTTTATCATCTATCTGGAAGGTTCGGAATAGAATTAATATCGCATAAACTCGCATATTTTTAAATTTTCTCCTATAAAATCTCTAATTCGCGTCGCAGTTTTAAATTGATTGCTATTTTATTTTATTTTGTAATGAGCGTTCAAATTCTTTAATCGATATGCATTGGCCTTGCGGAGTATATTTGTTTTTATTGTCTTTCATATTTTCTCTGTAACGATTGTTTTTGCTTTCTATTATGTTCTCACTGTGTGTGTGTGTGAAGATGAAAATAAATGTGCCGAAACGTATGAATTAATAATTTGGTTAATTATTTTTTGAGCATCTAACACCTGGCTCTGGGTCAATATAGCTATTTTACATTTTTGATAATTTTTTATTATTAAGGCCCAAGTTTGACATTTCTTTCATAATTGGTTTTTTTTAATACTTTAATTTTGTATTTTAGTATAAAGAAAAAAACATAGTGTTGTAGCATTATTAAAAAAAATATATTTTCCCGTTTAAACCGTCATAGCAAACGATGGATATATTTAAATTCATCATGTTTTGCATATTATTTTTTGAAACTTTTTAATTACTGCAATACTGATAAGAGAGTTTTGCAATATTCGCATTCGTCTGCAAAACAGATTGCATTAAAAGGTGACATCATATCATCATTCGATTTCACATAATGTTGCAGTTTGCATCATTAATGATTCAATATTTTCTGATTTTTTGATCAAACGCATCCGGACGCGTGTTTAGATATTTGTAGGCAATGACCGATAGTTAAAAAATTCAGAGTTATTTATACAATTTGTTGATCAACGAAAAAGTTGATTAAAAAATTCAAAATTTAGTCCAATGCAAAAATTCTAAATCGGAATAAATGTAAAGCCCCGATAATGCTTATAAGTCACATAATTGTTACTTATATTATATTTTCAATGACTTACACAATAGACTTATACAATCATATGCAATACAAAAAAAAATGATAACCGCAAACGTATTTGTTGAAGAGAGGACCACGGACAAGATGAGATGCTAACACAAGAACCAGGAATGCTTTACGGTGAATATCTACGATTAGATAAAATCTTGTCCGCGCAAAGACTTCTCAGCGCCGAATACAGCAATGAAGTTCACGATGAGCATCTCTTTATTGTCACTCATCAAGGTATTAATAATCAAGTCTTCGACTACCGTCGGAAATAATTAAGGTCGACATATGTTTTTTTCCTTTTACTGGCTGGTTAGAAAAAGTACACAATTGACTCTTTATCTCTCCGCTGCACTGCAGTGAATTTTATTTTATTAATTGCATACATTTCGATTGCCGTAGCTTACGAGCTTTGGTTCAAACAAATTATTTTCGAGCTCGATTCCGTCAGGGCGCTCTTCAACTCCGAATCCAACACTTACAACGCTTCCAATGATCACTCGACTGCCAGCCAGGATAATGGAGTTTCTCACATCTTGAACGAGACGAAAACTCTGGAAATCTTGAAGCGACTGAATCGCATCGTGCTTATCCTAAAAGTACGTTTTAAAAACAATTCTCTCGGAGAGAAATCATTACGGCGGAAGAAGCAGATAGTTTTATATCTGATGAAGGAGGATAAATAAAATGTAATTAGAGTGAGATGTTCAATTAAATGTGTCACAGGTAAATCGGCTTATTTCGCGATAATAACGGTGGCGATGAAAGGTGAATGGCCCTTCATCGCAAGCCGATTAGTTCGCAACAGCTTGCGTGTTCCTTCAGTATTTAATCAAATTTTTCTGTCTCACCAGACAAAGCTGTTTATCGCGACACTGCATCTTACACTTCGCTTACATGCTACAGAAACATATGCGGATTAACGTGCCGCTAGACACTCTGCTACAAATCGATTATGATAATTTACGCCAGATATAATGCCGAGCGTGAAATGTAAATTCAAATAACAAAACATAACAACGTTATGTCACCCGCGCTATCGATATTTTTCATGATACGGTGCGGCATTTTTCTCTCTTGATTTAGGCATGCTGTTAGGTAAGACTGTGGGAACCACTGAATAATAATACTGAGTAAGATAATATCTTTAGATGATATGTGATACCGGAGATCAGATCTTGCGTTAGGTAACAAACTCGTTACACTATTTTAATACCGCAGAGCGAAGATGTGGTTACATGCTTGCTTATTTTGATTCGATAAAAGGCCTCTCCATGACGCTGCATTTTCAATTTGCAATAGAACGCAATATCGAATATCTTGGGACAGAATTTCAATGAAAATCAGATCAACGGACTCAAATGTGTGTTACAAGCCTACCTTCGATACGGCACTCAAGAAACGAGCAAGTTCACAATATATGAGAAAAATTTTACTCCACAATATTTATTATGTTTGTTCGGATTTTCTGCACCCTGTATAATGCACTGTGATATTATTGCGTCTGCCCTATCTACCCTTTGTTTACGTTGGCATCCATAGAAATGCGGACCCAGTCGCGTTAACCAATCGATGAGAGCGACTCAAGCACATCCCTTTGTACTTTTAAAATCTTATTCGAGTAAGAGAAATTTATATTTTTCTTTCCTAGTAAGTCTCGTGAAATCTATAATCTTTTTTAGTCAATACGGATTCAGATGAAGAAAAGTAGAAAATGTAAAATAAGATCGGCAGCACTTATACATTATTTTCGTAAAATATGAACTAATCATTTAAAGATAAATATCATATTATGCAGCTATTGGTGGATCAATTGACAATCCTAGAAACGATGACACCGTTGGACTTCATGGCGTTTCGAGACTACTTGTGCCCAGCCTCGGGTTTCCAGTCGCTGCAGTTCCGTCTATTGGAGAACAAACTGGGCGTGAAGCAGGAACACAGGGTGAAATATAATCAGGGTTACGTGAGAGTGTTTGGGCGAGATCCTAAGGCCATTGAAGCGATCAAACGCTCGGAGGAGGAGCACAGCCTCAGTACTCTAGTCCAAAGATGGTTAACCAGGACACCGGGGCTCGAGACCGACGACTTCGATTTCTGGGGGAAGTACAAGCGATCAGTGGAAAAGATGCTGGCCGAGCAAGAACAAACCGCACATGTAATCATGTCTATCCTAAACCCGTGTTAATTCTGCAATTCTTAATGTGCAGCGCTAAATCGTCTGATATATTTCTTCAATCGGAAATGAACTTTTTTTAGAAACAATTCAGATGATTGAAAAGACTTACTGCAAAATTAACAAAGTTAAAAATTATAGTGTAAAAGGCAAACGTGAAACGTTTTATGCTCAAGATTATTTATTTTCTCTTGTTTGCGATTTATAAAATGGATTTGATCATAAAAATTTCTGAAATTTCAGAAACAACCGAAGCAGATCAGAGAATACCTGTTGACTAACGTGCGTTCGCGCCAGGCGGTTTTCGAAACTATTTTTAATGAATCTCTTCATAACGCTTTCGTGTCGCGTGGCGAACGCAGATTTTCGCATGGAGCTCTGCAAGGAGCGATCATGATAACCTTGTATCGAGACGAGCCACGGTTCAGCCAACCGCATCAAATTCTCATGGCACTAATGGATATCGACTCTCTAATCACGAAATGGAGGTGTAAGAAAACACACTTGTCAGAATCATAAGAATTTGACCTCTTTTCATAAAAATTCCACAAATTCTATCAAACCAAAATATCTTTCTTTTATAATTTTTTTTCTTTTATCTATAAATGTCTTGTTGAAGCCCGAAATTGTGTCATTTATATTTACACTTACAAAATTCAATTACGCTTGTAATTAAAAAATCTCCAAAAATTTGTAACAAGATAGCAAATTAAATAAAAATTACATTAAATTTAAATTAAATGTATAAAACACACATTGCATGCACATTGAAATGTCAAATATATGTCTCGTCTTGTGTTATATTTAAGTTATCAATCTCAGATAGTTCACGAAATGCAATATAAAAGCATACTTACGCCATATACTTTACATAATCTTTACATGACTTAACATATTCTTATCTCTTCATGTGAATGTTAAAAAGAATACATTTCTCTCTTCTTTAGATAATCACGTTATCATGGTGCAAAGAATGATTGGATCTCAGCAACTGGGCACAGGAGGTTCTTCCGGCTATCAATATTTGAAGTCCACGCTAAGGTATTTAACGATTTCAATGAATTCAATACGCACACATGAATAATTTATTTAAAAAAAAAACACATTGACGTGTTATGACGTTAATGAAGATAATATTACGCGTGACGTAACGTTTTACATTTATCACGGATTTTTATTATCAACGCAAAACATAATTTATTATCGAAGCACAAGAATTTTGCAATATCATAAAAAAAAGTACATCGTTAAATGAAAATTATTGCTTATAACTACTTTTAATTAATTATTCAATATGTTGTTCTAATCGCATGCCAGTAAATAAAATGTTAGCAACGTCACCAAATTGATAGCAAATTACTGTCAGTCTGTCAACATTGTAAACATTTTATTATTTCGAATATGTTACATTTTGTAAAAGCGTATCTAATAATCGCGTTTTCTGACTCGCGTATGCAAACCCAAATATTCTTAATAATAAACACTTTGTTTTTTTTTCATATGTTTTGGTGAACAGCGATAGGTACAAGGTCTTTCTAGACTTATTCAATTTATCAACTTTTTTGATACCTCGCCACATGATACCGCCGTTGACGAAGCAAATGAAGACAAAATTGTCAATCGCCTGGAATGGTTGGAATTCGAACGATAACCAAAATAACTCGGAAGATTCTTGAAAAAGTTCATAAAAATCTATTTAATAGAATTCTTCTAACATAACATAGCCAGTGTAGATGCATTCACTTTGCATATAACAATTAGATGAAAGGAATAAAAATCTTTAGTGTAGTTGAATTGTGTATCTTTAGAAAATTCAATAATTGTATAATTCAAAATTAATTTATAGTAAGATTAAAAAAAATGGGAATCTCTTAAGTCTAAGAATTATTTCTAAATTAATAAAAAGTTATTAATTGTTTATTAGACTAAAATATCATCTAAAAAGAAAAGTCAATGTTTCAATGGTTTTCGATAGTTATAAGAAAAAAGTTCATATAGCTATTATTTAATTATATTGCGAATGCTATTATTTCTGAAATATTAAATTTGTTGTATCATCCATTATTTAAGCATATTTGAAAGGTTTCGTACAAGGTTTCGTACGCTACAAAAATAATCGGCATGAGGAATATAATATTATTATAATATTATTTATTACGCCGAATATATTTTTTATTAGTTTACAGTTTTGCAACATTTCTGCTTACAAAATATTTTTATAAAAAGAAATATTAACGTATATACGTATTATACACTATTATATTTTGATTCTTGGATTCTCGATATATACTTCTCAGATACAAAGGATTTAAAATTAATCGATTAAATAACGTCCAACGACACGATTTCATTGACAATACCTGTGAACACACAAATAAGTATTTACTCGTCCGCTGAAATGGATGATCTATTTAATTGAATATCACATGCTCTCCGTTCATAATTGATCTTACCGCATATATTTTTATTCATTGCAAGGCGAAGATAACCATTTTCACCAAAATTGGATCCCCACGAGCTTTTAACGATGTAATACGGTATCATCCCCATTGTATCGTATCCCACTATTTGCACCGCATGATTCATATTAAAAATGGAGTCGTCGCAATTATAATCTATTATACCACTTCGATAATTCTGCCAGTTTATGGCGTTTACATAAGCTACAGGTCCGTGATTAACGAGCCGGTTCAAAAGATAATACTCTCTATCCACATAGCTGGAACAAACTCGATTAATATTCAGGAACCGCTATTGAATGTCCGAAACGTAACAAAAATCCCTTACCTTTGTTAATATTGATATAATCGATGACTATGCAATTAATGTTATGTTATAGCGAAATATATAAACGATATTTATATCTTGCGTGTAAAAATAAAATTACAACAAAACTTAATTACCTTTTATATTCAAAATTCGTTATCGCCACTCTTAATGTTTCTGCAGACACTCTAAAATAATATTAGAGATCGTTTTAAAATTTAGTTTCGTTATATTTTGATAATATTAAATAAACACCATCGCCACTTGTGTACACATACTCAGACAATTTGCATGCGTCGGTTTTCCATGTGAGAGGGTAAGCGTTCTCAGAAACAATTGTAGTATTTCTAATCATTAGCAAGAGGAGTGCATTGTGTATATTACCGCCGTTTGTACAACCATAATCAAGAACGCAATCGATCAGCTGCAATGTCGCGAGAAATTAAATTAGCAAATTAATACGTAAGAATTTAAGAAAGTCCCAAGATTTTCAGCTTCTAACGTTTTATTAAATTTTTTGGTTTATCAAGAAGTGCATAGAAAAATAAAAACATCTTAGAACTTTTCCTTGAATGTATAAAGTATTGCGTTGTGAGAAAGATTAAGAAGCTGCTAAAAAAAGTCAGCTGCTCTGAAGCTTACGAATGTACGATTTATTCGATTTATAAAAGCACTCGTATAAAATTTGTATTTTGCATTAGGTACGAAATTTTTTCAGCAGTTCCCTAAACTTGTAAACAGAAAAACAGGTCAGAAATATAATAGTTCCGACTTACTTCTTGCACGCTAAGGGAATACAAAGTTCCGGTTTCGATGGCGTACATGGATTCGACTATTCCGATAATGTTGAATGCCCACCATGCTTTGCAAGATTCTTGATTTCGAACAGGTCCTATGATTCCTCTATCCCGCCAATCATACTTGAGAGATAAGTCTGTCATCTTTTTTACGTGATTAGTTGAGTTCATAGTATATTGAGAATGATACGATTCTTTTGCATGTTTTTGATTTATTTAACAAAATCGCCGCCTTTGTTTTAAATGCTAAATTATATTCATTAACATATTGCTATAACAGAACTTTCTTAAAATATTTTTGTTCATTTAAGAGGATGCTGGAGTTCTGTTTTACCACATGAATGCTGTATTTTTCCTGACTTTTTTCTAACAAATACAGCTTTTTTCTGCCTGCATAGAATTAAAAATCCTTTTGCAGGATTAAAGAGCACACAAAAAGGGAATTCGCGTTGGTCGAAAAAATTCAGAAAAATAAAGTTATTTATAACATTAATTTTTATTGACATACTCTTAGGATAACATGTCTTTTAGAGCTATCAATTTTAGCTTTTTATAAAAGTTTAAGAGGATGCTGGAGTGCCTGACGAACTCCGACGCGAAAGCGCCATCATTTCGATGGAACTAAAAATGAGAGTGATATTATCGGCATAAGTCATAATCTAAGTATGAATGTATTGTGTATGCGTATGTGTGGTGCGTGTATATATTCGCATATTATTGTATAGCGCCTCTCTGATATTATCCTGGAACTAATCTTCTGTTATTTTTCCATCTGTTATACCGATATTGGACGCACACGTATGTAAAAATAGTCGGACAAGAATATTTTTACATTAGACTTTTCAGCCCAATTTTAATGGTTCCATAACATTTTATTATGCAGTGCGCAATTCGCGCTGCTCTTATTCGGTGTATTAAAATCGTTAAACTTTTATAAAAAGCTAAAATTGATAGCTCTAAAAGACATGTTATCCTAAGAGTATGTCAATAAAAATTAATGTTATAAATAACTTTATTTTTCCGAATTTTTTCGACCAACGCGAATTCCCTTTTTGTGTGCTCTTTAATCCTGCAAAAGGATTTTTAATTCTATGCAGGCAGAAAAAAGCTGTATTTGTTAGAAAAAAGTCAGGAAAAATACAGCATTCATGTGGTAAAACAGAACTCCAGCATCCTCTTAACGATTTTAATACACCGAATAAGAGCAGCGCGAATTGTGCACTGCATAATAAAATGTTATGGAACCATTAAAATTGGGCTGAAAAGTCTAATGTAAAAAATATTCTTGTCCGACTATTTTTACATACGTGTGCGTCCAATATCGGTATAACAGATGAAAAAATAACAGAAGATTAGTTCCAGGATAATATCAGAGAGGCGCTATACAATAATATGCGAATATATACACGCACCACACATACGCATACACAATACATTCATACTTAGATTATGACTTATGCTGATAATATCACTCTCATTTTTAGTTCCATCGAAATGATGGCGCTTTTGCGTCGGAGTTCGTCAGGCACTCCAGCATCCTCTTAACTCTTAAAATTGACTATTATTTGTTAACTGTTAGAGAAAGAAAAACTTTTGTTGCAAATAGACCATAATTGATATAAATATAATTGTATGATATATAATTGTAATGAACAAATACGTATCTCCAAAAACATCGCCAAAATTAAAGAAACATTACATTTATTGTCTTCCTACTTTATTATTTGTTAAATTAGTCATGATTTTTCTATGGTGAAAGGAAAATTACATTTACCTTGCGAAGGTAATTCGGAAAATAAAACTTGTAAAAATTCATCCTCAGATAAATCAGGTCTATATAGTTGGCCCCCCCCTCTAACGCAAATCGTAAAAACATTTATATATTCGGATTGTACATTGTTTGTACATAAATGTACTATGATTTTTATTGTTTGTACATTTTTCGTTAATTTAAAAAAAAATTACAAAGTTTTCGTAACTGTGCTAATGATAGTTAGCCCCCCCTAGAGTCCCTATATATAGAGTCTGGCCACTCGATTAGTTTTGGAAAAACATGGCGGCGGTATATGCATAGACGCATCTTGTGTTTACCATATTTATGGAATAAAACTTTCATTGACTACACCTTATTCGACTACAAATTGATAGTATTAATAAAAGCAGAGTGAAGCCTATAAAAGTAAGTACAATTATTTGGTATATGGTTTCTAAAATAAAATATCTAAAAATAATGATATTATAAAGAAGTAAAATTTGTCATAAAAATTGTAATTCTAACCTCACATTATTTATAATAAGTTTTATTTAAAAGAGTTTTATTTATTATTGTGATACTGAATATATAAGTAATAATAATATATACTGTAATGATATAATTTTAAGTACTATTAGTTAATTTTTCTTTATTTTTCAATTAAAAATTTCTAGAAAAGAATAATATTAATTGTTATTAATTTTCTTGTTCTATTTCTTTTCAAATTATACTTTCTATAAGAATTCCTATTGGTTCCGCCATGTTTTTCCAAACTTTGTTTTGACCAATAAAAATAAACACAAGCGTGGCCAGACTCTATATATAGGGACTCTAGCCCCCCCTATGTCGCAATTACGTCACGTAAACTATAACTTATGAATTTATTGTGCTTAATCGTTTGTACGTCGTTTGTACATTATTAATAATCGGTTAAATTTATAATTCTAACATTTGTTTTTGTTTAAAACGCAAGATAAATAATTTTTATTTGAATATGGCGGGTACGGAGTACGGAGTGGGTGCGCATGCGTGTGCGTGCGTATGCGCGCCTGTGCGTGCATATGCGTGTATGTGCGTGCATGTGTGTGCTGCATGTATTGTGTAGATGTGTATGCGAGTGAGTGGTGGGTGTGTACGCGCGTGTGTATATACACAACACAGCATATACCCACACATACGCACACCTCCACTCACACACACAGCATTACATTAGACGGCATTATATCACGGCTATGTCATCACAGCATAGCAAAAGTTAAAAGTTAAAGACTTTTAAAATATCTCTAGACAAAAAACTATTAATTTTTAAGCTTTGTTTCCATTGAGACTTTCAATCAGCATCAATAAATGATACTGCAATTTCGGCGAATTTAACCACTTTTCATAATGTTTGTGCGGGGTCCTTTTATAGAAATCTTTAATTATGATTAAAATTATTTGAATCAATTTTGAAAAGATAGATTTCCTACACAATGTTTTTAAGTTCGTGCTTTACGAAACAAATAATTATCGCTAGCCAATCAAAATCTTGTTCGTTGCGACAAATGTAGACATCTCTCGTCAATGCTGCTCTATTGTTTTTTCTACTAATGTTTTTGTTTCTATTCTTCCTACTTTTTTTTAAACGTCCCGGGGGTTTCCTTACCTAAATTGTAATGAGTCGGTAGTCGGTAGTCGGAAATCGGAAATCGTAAGTCTTAACCTAAGTCGGTGACTCTATCATTTTTTGCATCCACAATGAGTCGCTAGTCGTAAAGCAAGTCTCTCAGCTGGACCAATAGGAAAGCAGATTTTAGCAGCACCTACTTGCTCCCAACAATGTTTTTTATCTATATTTTTATATGTTTTCACATATTTTGCGTACAGGCAAGGATTTGCCTGCACAATTTTAATTATCTCTAGGTCGTCCAGATTTATTTTGATAAACACACATTGATTAAAGCCGGGTCTACAATGAGTCGGTAGTCGGTAGTCGGTAGTCTTAAGTCACAATCGGTGAGTGAAAAGCGAGTCTACAACGAGTCGGAAAGGTAGTCGATAAGTCGTAATCGGTGAGTTAGTAGAGTTGGCCAACAGCCAACTTTAACGACACCGACTACCGATTTTCTTACGACTGGCCAATCAAACGCTTCGACGTTCTAGGCATGCATGTCTCACGTGTTTATGTGTGTTAATCAATGAGCTTGTTCGTTTTAGCTACACTGGGGCTGCTCTGGGTCTGCTCTACACAAGATAATACAGGACAGATAAATAGTTTGTCCTGTATTATCTTGTTTAGAGCAGACCCAGAGCTGCCCCAATGCAGCTAAAACGAACAAGCCCAATATGTGTTTATAAATGAATCTGAACGACCTAGAGATAATTAAAATTGTGCAGGCAAATCCTTGCCTGTACGCAAAAGATGCGAAAACATATAAAAATATAGATAAAAAACATTGTTGGGAGCAAGTAGGTGCTGCTTTAATCAAACCGAGAACAAGTTAGTAATTTGAATTGCTTTATTTTGCTCATGTTTTTTTAGCATAAACTAATAGCCAATTTACTTAATATTATAGGCGAAGCTGTGCAGAAACGTTGGGACAACTTACGTACAATGTTTGTGCGAGCCCATCGCAAACGAATGGAGTATATTCCATCTGGTTCTGGTGCAATGGAGGGTCTAGATGAGAGCAATGGGATAGATTTTGCTTATTACGCGGACATAAGCTTCCTTATTCCTCATTACAAGCCTCGAATGTAAGTTGAAACAATGAACATTTTTTCTTATGTACAGCACTTAATCAACGTATCTAACTTTCTCATGCATTTTAATATGCAGGACTCGTTCGAACATGAAGGCTCCTATCTCCATTCAAATACCCTCATTTACTTCACCAGCAGCTGTAGCTGAAGAGTCTGCATCAATCATTACTCCAACTAATTCGACTTGGAACCTAGATTTTACAAATTCCATAAGTATTGTAGGTAAGTCTCAGGTGTCATTGGGTATGTCCAATATATTCTAGGGCGTCAGTCATGTAATTTTTTCCTAAGAATAAAAATGAATAAATAAAAGCTTTCACGTGAATTCAACAATTTTATTCGTCAAATTAACATAAAACTTTTTACTTTTACATTTCCGCTCCTCGAAAAAAAGTACATGACTGATTCCCAGATTGGGAAATATCATTTTAAGGGGGAACACCACGGTGACGGTTTCAAAAAATCGATTTTTTTTGCATTTTTGTGATGTTTGGAGTCTTAAAAATATGTCCCTATAATATTATGGTGAAATTCATAACGGAACTATAGTAAATATGTCATAGAGTAGAACTTGGTCAGATGCCGCTAGTAGAACCGGCCGCGCGCTACCTAAAAAGATTCGGCAGTCCCCTTGATCTGTCTGTAGGGAGTTTTACCGGTATTCTTTTGTTGTCTACGTGCTTGAGTTCTATTGCTTCAGAAGGCACTTCATATGCACCCGGATTGGACGCACTTTGGTTCGTTACAAAATTTTATCGTTTTATATGAACCAATTAGTTGTAAAACTTTAAACGCGTTTTTCTCGAAACCACGTTTTTGTAACTGGGCGCTCTCATATCTCGGCCAATTTTTATCCGAATAACTTGAAATTTGGACAGAATGTTTACAACAAAATTGTCTTCAGTTGCACGTACGGATTTTTCAATCGGATTATTAGTTTTTGAAAAACAATTAAAG